CTTTAGGTTCTTTGAATTGGATTTGGAAACATTCTCTTTATTGGTGTGAATTTATGAGTTTCTGTTTTTGAGTATGTTCTGCTTTCTTTCTTACTAGCAGGAATTTAAAACTTGGCCGCCTACTTGGCCAGTCCATGTGGAAAACAGCAGTAGCTCAGATCTAGCTGCTGTTGACGTATGGGAGTTCAGGCCTACCATTTCCAGATCTTCTGAATTTTCAAGACAATTCTAAGTGAAGTCTAATGATTTCTTACTTTTGGCCAATACCGTGAGGAATAAACAAGCTGTGGGCTCTATCGGGCCTGCAGACCTTGAATGTGTGACTCTGGTTTGGAGACTGAAGTAGTGTGGCTCTAGATCCAGAAGGGCTGTGGGGACAGGAAAATGAGTTAATTTCGTACTCAGTAAAAACTTTTTCCAGATAAATTCAATCCAGTCAAGGAGAAATTTAATCACATTAATCCAATCAAGAAAACTAGAGAAATATAGATTAATAAAATTAGAAACCACAGGTATCACAAGTACTGAGAGAAGTAAACAATATCAGACCCTTTTTGGCTTGGAGTCCAAGAGTATTTCAGTAATCTATCCTCATCTCTGTGTCTACCTTGAAGTTATTTTAACATGTGGTTATTAAAATGAATGTGTATTATGCTAACATAGGATGTGAAATGTATTTTACAAAAAAAACCCTAAGTGTGCATCAATATTGATTTAATTCTTCAGCCAGTTTTAAGTTCTGTATTGAAAGTGGACAATGAATTAAAACTTCCTCTGCTTGTGATTTCAACAGATGAGAAGAGGCAGGTGAATTGCAAATGACTGATTAATAGTGAGTGTAGTCTTTGGATTTTGCTAACCCAATCTATGGTGATTTGAAATTATGGAATTGACAAACCAGGATTTTCATATTTCAAAAGTTTTGTGTTTGTGAAATATGCCAGGTGTGGTTCATTGTCCATATTCCTTGGATGTCCCTGTATTATTAACCAGTTGTACTTTGTGTGGGTAGAAGATTCTAATAGAAGAGTGTTGTCAAACTGTCTTTTTAAAGAAGTTTCTCCAAGGGCTATATATCAGAGGTAGTGATCTAAATGCTTTTCCAGTTTTTCTAAGCCTTCTCTTCAACAAACCAGGCTTTTAGTGACATTTGTGCTTCCTGAAGTTGGCCGGATAAGCAAAGATAGATACACATCCTCTGTGAGTCTGGTCAGCTCAGCTTTATTCCCTAAGGGGAAAGCACATCACGGGAGAGGACACCAAAATACCTATCATCACACAGGTAGTCGTCTAATTGCTGGTACTGCCGACTAAGTGCAGAAAAGCAGCCACATCATAACGTGGTCTGGCCATGTTGGAATCAGACCCTTGTGAGGTACACATCTGCTGTGCAGGGGGCTGGAGGGCAAGCTTGTTAAAACAGATTCTGAATAATTCCAATTGGACATTAGAATACATTTCTGAATGTGTACAGAAATGTAAACAAATCTCTAAAGTTAAAAGGTTTGGTGTTAGTAGTTGTCAGCACTAATAGATTTATTTATATGTTTGATTTTGGTGGTTGATGGCGGGCACTGATTTATATATAACTCATCATTCTGCTGAGAATGCTTTATGCTTCACACATACGTGATACTGTGTGGTTTGTTTTTGGACCCAATATTGATTTTATTTTTGTTATGGTCAGATGTATTAATAAAAATTTCCAAAGATCACTAACATATAAAGCCATCATTAAATATCTTCTTCTTCTTGTGACATTAAAAGATTAGGAGTACAATTTAACTTAATTTTATGGTATAATATACTGTTTAACTGAGACATGAGCACAAGTCCCTGAACAAGGTCAGCGAAAAGGTTGTCCTCTTTCTAAAAGGTACATCTGTCCATGGTGACCCACCTCGGCTGTTAATGTCTCTAGCAACTAGAGTTACCATTTGGGAAATTGTAATTGTGGCAGGCAAGACTCATCAATGGATGCTAAAATTCGTGGACAAAAGTATAAGAAATGGGGTTCACATACTCTCAAAGTCCCCTTAGCCCTCTCCCGCCCAAGAAAAATGTGCAAAGGGAAAACTAGCAGTATGACAGTGGAGGAACATCATAGATAAACCCTAACCAAATGATCAGAGTTATCATCACGAGTAATGAGCCATGGACATCACCATGCGCCTTCTGGCATGATGCATAGCATTACTTCTGTCGTTCTTGCCGAAGTGCTTGTCTGTAGTTAGTCAAGAGTAAGGTTTAGACAAACCTAGACTGCGGGACATTTTACTGAATAACCAGCCAGTACTCTTCAAGTGTCAAGGTCATGAGAGACAAACTGTCCCAGGTGGGAGGAGACACGACAACTGCATGCAGTGTGTGATTCTGGCCCAGAAAAAGGGCATCAGTGGGGCAAAAAAATTGTGTAAGGTTGGCTCTGGATTATTTAATCAATCTTAAATTGGTGGTTAATTTCCTGGTTTTGATAATGTAACTGTGGTTGTATAAGTTGTTAATATTTGGGGAAGCTGAATGAAGGGTACACAGGAATTCTTTGTACTATTTTTTGAACTTTTCGTAAGTCAAAGTATTTCGAAATGAAGTTAAGTAACAACAATAAAAAAGTCACTCATCTCAACTGAGAAACTAAGACTGGTGTTTTTACTTTGTGTCTTTTGCTTGCTTGTTTTCTTTGCTTCCTGCATCTCCACTCTGATCTGGATAGCTGAGGTTTCTAAGTAAGGGGTTTGGGGAGAAGAGAGCCATTGTCACATTTGATTGCAACCATACTTTGAAAGGTTTTGTTTAATTCATTAATTTACTTATTTATTTTTGGACAGAGCTGTAATTACATCTTTGGGTTTCCAATGGCTTTGTAGGTTATTTGAGCTTTACCGTTGTAGCCACCAGAATCCCTAGGTGGAAATTTCAGTCTGTAATTAACTTACTGGCTTGTTTCTGTTTTTATTGTTATGTTCTGAATTCAGGTTAGTCCCCTGGATTCTTCTGCTATGTGTCATGTATTATTGCAGCTTATATTTGTTGGCTGTCTCTTAGCAAGGGCTGATTTTGAATATAAATTTTTATTCACACTTGAGATCGCATACTAAATATCTATTTTCTGTTGGAAAAGACAGTCTGGAGTTTTTATAAACATAATGAATAAATAAACTTGCAATGGCATAAGTACCAAGTGGTGACCTTTTATTGGGTAATAATTAGAATGGAGGAAATTAATACATTGGGCAATGTTTGCATTATTAGCAGGAGTACTTGTTAACGTATGACTCATAGATTCTTAAGTCTAGGAGAAACTTGACGAGGCTGTTTTGACTAGTGTCAGAGAGGGACGAGCATGAACATGGATTTGGGAGTCAGAAGACCTCATTTTACATCCCAGATCCATCACTGCTTTTTTTTTGTGATTGGACAGGTCCTTAAACTTTTCTGAGCCTTGTTTCTCATCTGTAAAACTGGAGTAATAATAACCTCTTGCCAAGCCATTGTGAGAATTAAATGAAGTAACATGCAATATGCCTTTGCCTAATGTGGGTATTTCATACATGCTGGCTCTGTTCTTGCCTCAGCCAGGTTTATAACTAAGCTGTCTGCAGTTGATGAGAATGTACTTTGCTTATAAAGACCTATAAAAAGGTCATAGAATATGTCATCTAGTACTGGCAGTAACTTCTACCAGTATTTCACAAGTCTTTCTGCAGGGAAGTTTTTCCCTATCTCTTAGTCTAGAGAGATTATTTTCTTTTATATGTTCGCCACATTGGCTACCACCCCAAAATCTATTAGACAAGTGTCACTCATTTGCTAGACTTCTCCTAGTGTTTAAATGTTCTTATCTGAAATCATTTCATACAATACATATTAAATTTATTTTAGAAGAAAATCTGTTATGAGACAAAGGGGACAAGCTGTGTAGACAATTGTAAGGAATCCCTTCCATGTACAGTTTCCTTCAAGCTATAGGTCTAAGTTGACTGTAATCCTCTGAGATAATTATTCCTAAAGCTCTAGTTACTCTTCCTGTTTCACTCCAGTTTAAAAAATACTTTCATTTATTCTTAGATTTTCTAATTTTATATTTCACTGTGGGTATGTAACTGAGCATCAGTGGTTTTAGGAATTACACACCAAAGTATTTAGGGCTAGAGGCATGTCTGCAACTTACTCCTAAGAAAAAGTTTAAGGAAAAAGTAACGTGTGTATGTGGACATGTATCTCTACATAGAGGAGGGGAGAGGGAGAAGGGGGAGCACGATACTGCAGCTGTGCAATGTTCATAGAGGTGAATTTGGGTGGAGGGAGTTCTTTGTGCTTCTCTGACAATTTTTCTCTAAGTTTAAAACCATCTCAATATTATATTGGATTGAGTTATATTCCTGTACCGAGAAGATGTAAGCAAGTGGCCGTTTCGGAGGGTAGGAGATAGGACATGGGCAAGCATAGAAGAATAGATAATAAGTGAGTAATTCAGTAAGTAGTAATTCACTGGCAAGAGAAACTGTGTTCCTTTAATTTCACTTTTTTTCCTTAGCCAGAACAGAATTCATTTTTTGTAGAAGGGCCTTATAGGTAGGCAGTAAGTTGCTGCTGTCTCAAAGCAGAGAAAGCTACTTGGAAATGAAATCAGATGATAAAAAGTATTAAAATATATATATATTTACAAGACCTATGCAAGGGGAAGCAAAATGCATAAGGCTGAAATAATAGGACTTTAAAAATTATCCAGTGCTCAGATAGTCTTTCTTCTACCTGAGAGGTACAAGTTAGTTTTCTATAATTAGCACTTTGTCCTGCTAGTTAGTACATATCAATTTATCCTTTATTTTAAATTGCTATTTGATTTCAAAGTTAATCTTTTGTATTCATAATAAAATTTTACATGATATTTATAATCATTTTACTCTTCAAAAAGAGTCTTCTGAACTCAAGAAACCTTTTTTAAACCCTTTCTGTTTTCTTCCATGTCGACGATGATATTTCTTTTTGAAACTCAGAAGCCAGCCAAAGGTAAGAGATTTGGCTTATTATGTGACACTTATAAAAAAATCTTACGTGCATGTTTTTAAAGTCCTGGTAATTTTTCTTTTAAAAAATATTTTCTGTGCCACTTTTGTAAAAGTAATGCAAGTTGTCAGACTATTCATAAATCCGAAGCCATTTAATGGCATAGGAGGGACCTGGAGGTTTATGGAAAAGCTGTATTTGTACTTTGACCGATTCTGGCCAGTTTCCTGGCAACTACAACACAGATTCCTTTTGTGCTGTGCTTTTGGCCATGGATTGGCTCAGAACTGGTCCTTCCAAACTGTGGTCAAAACCATGCGAGGCCGTCATCCCCGTCACTCTCGAGACAGCTGGGCCGCATTCTCGGGCCAACAGAAACCTGCCCTGGCTCACAGCTTCCTCAAGGAATGCGCTTTCGTCTTAGATCTGAGCCCAGCTTCTAAAGAAACTTCAGTGGCGTGCGCCAGTTCCTGGGTTTCTTAAGGAATGTATAGGTGTGCCAAAGTGGGCCCAGGACTGTATTTTTGAATTGACTATTCTCTGAAGTTATTGGAACTTGCCAGGATATTCAGATTTTTATCTACATTCTTGGAGTTTTGTTTTTGTTTTAGACATTGTGGTTGAATTGTAACTCCATTCTCTATTGTTGTTAGAATATGTATAGATATGGCTGTTTGGGACCCTGAATAATTTTTTAAATAGTTTAATATGGCACTGATTTATTTATATATATAAAACTAATTGCATTAGTTTTATCTCATCTTTTCTATGAAAAGGTGCTGGATTAGTTTTGTTTTCTTATTTTTTAATAGAGCAGAGGCTGGAGATTGTGGTAAAGTGAGGAAACATTATATGACTAGTTAAAACTAATATTCATTTTTTTTTTTTTTAGTTTAGTTATATCTTAATGGTTAGAGAAAATGTGTTCACATAAAAAATGTGGAAGGGCTGATAGCACATTATGAACAAAGTGGTTACCTCTAGGGAGAGGTATGCTCGGTGAATGGGAGGCCTTTATTTTTCTTATGCTTCTGTTATTTGATTTTGTCAAAGTGAATGTGTGTTACTTCAGTGTTACTTGAAAAAAATATTTTGTTTTTAAATTTTAAAGGGAGAATATCTATTTAGAAATAAAAGAGCTTGTCTGCTTTAGAAAACTCATGGCTGGAAGTTTCCTGTAATAATTTATGAAATTGCTAAAGCTTAAAAGAGGATATCATCAGCATTGTTAGTAAGAACTAAATGTTCTTTAGTTCCCAGCTTTGTACCAGGCAGTGGTGCTTTCATGTTATTGGGGAAGAGAGCCACTCCAGGCTGTGGTGAGCTGACGCCTGGCTCAGAGGCAGGGTTCAAATCCCGGCTTCCCCACCTGCTAGCCCCCAGGTCCTTAGCTGTTTGTACTCAGGGCCCAGCATGTCATATCAGCTATTGTGTGATGGTTACTTCAATTATATTTTCTTCACTGGAATTGTGAATAAGAAAAGCAGTTGTTAAAGAAACCCCTAAATTAAAGAAAGAGAAGGAAAAAACTCAACAATGGAGAGAGAAGTGCCATTCAGAGCCTGGCCTCTGGTAAGCGCACACATGCGGTGAAGGGTCTTGAGGCTTACGAGGAGGGTCAGGCAGGTTTCTACTTAACTTCGTTAAGACAGAATTAAATAAAATTATAAGAGGTGAGAGTTGAAGGCTAGAACAGAAGAACTTTAACTGGAGCTTCACATTATGCTGCTCTCCCCCTGCTGAAGTGACTCTCCCCGTGGCTGGCAAGTGCGTTTGAAAAAGCCCCTGGGGCCACCTCCCCTCTGCCTTTCCTCCTCTCCTGTTGGAGAACTGCTCACCCAGTCAGCCACCACTTGTGATAGATACAGGCAGTAGGTACATGTTCAGCTGTGGGAGGCTGCTGGGGGCCAGCGATGTGCAGCATGGTGCCGCGCCTGGGTGGAGAGCTCCTGGCCTCTGGGACTCCCCCACCTGCCTCGGGGCTGGCAGCCACTGGGCTTCAGTTTGCCTTTCTGGCCGACCTGCCCCATCACTGCCCTGCCTGCCCTGCCTCCTGGCTCTTTCACACAGAGACTGGGGCATCCTGAGTCTTCCCTGCTTTACAGGTGTTTTTAACCAAACCTCTTGTGTTCCTGGGGGGTCTCCTAGGGCTCTCCCAGACCTGCTCTCCCCTTCGCAGCTGTCTCCAGCTGCAGGGTTTTGGCCTTTGGTCTTCCTGTGACCCCCACTTCACCCCATTCCTGTCAGTGTCATTGCAACTATTTTTCAGGAATTCTCAATTTCTGATAACAGGTACAAGCAAGCAATCTTACTTTCAGAGACTTGCCCTCCTTTCCCCCCCTCTTTCCTCTTTTGGCCTCTCCCCTCCCTCCTGCCCCTCCCTCCATCATTTTGAGGTAATTTCAAGTGGGAGGGGGATATAGGTGTGCATACTTAATTTACCATCCTAATCTTACTTCCTTTCTTAAAAAATTAACTGTCATACCTTTGGTCCAGAGAGCCTTATGAGTTTATACAGAAACATTCTCCTGCCAGCTCCAAACTCATAGCAGAGACAGACAGAATACTTTAAAATATTAAAATCATGTTATTATGTTAAAAAACAACATACGTAACTGCAGGAACTATCAGCAAGCTGGGGCTAAAGGAGCATATTGACTGGGCCCTTGAGTCAGGTTCTTCGAGGCAATTGGAAGTTCAGCTGTTAGAGTTAAAGGGGACCCTGAGTAGGGATGACGACTGGAGAAGCTCACCACGTGGAGGCAGATTTGGGTGAATGAAACATGAATAAAAGCCTAGAGAAGGGTTTTGGCCACCAACACTGAGCTAATGTCTGTCTACGTAGGAGGGAGTAGAGACATTGGGCTTTGGGAAAACCAAGACCTGGACTTGATATCTGGGCGTGGCAACGCAACCAGCCCTGTAAAGGTGGCTGAATGGAGAGGGAAGAAATAGGCAATCACATAAACCATGAAATACAAATGCCCAGTTCACATGCACTTGCAAGCTACATTTTTTGGCCCAAGAGGAAAACGGTCATCGGGAAGTGAGGCAACTCAGAAAGTGGGAGAGTTTGAAGTGCAAGCTGAAATGGATTTAAAAATAATTACACTTAAAATAATCAAGGAGACTAAACTATAAACCATGAAATCCAAAAAATGAAAAATCAATGAAAAAAAGCCTCTGAAAGATTTTTTTTAAAAAGTGCATGTATTTTAGAATGTAATAAACTTAAAAGATCAAAACAGAAATCGTCTGTGATATCCTACCAATAAATATTAATGACTATCAGTATTTCCAGAGTATTTTCTTCCTAATTGTTACCTGTGTATATTTTTGTACAAATATAGGATCATGATCCAGACTTTCATAATTTTTGGCTTAATATATGAACATTTTCTTACCAGTCTTCTGTAGTCTTAAAGATGTATACTATTGCACATGGGTGTGCTACAAAATCTACTATTTCATAGCTGTTTACAACATACTGTAGTAATCTGTACATTTTATTCTTTTAAAAATATCTTTGTTTTCTATGATGAGAAAAGTAAAAATATAGAGAATATATAAAAGCATAAAGAAGGGAACAAAGATCTCTATCTTATCATGCAGAAATAAACTTATATACACATAACTGAGTGTGTGTATGTGTGTATGATAGTTATCATACATATTGTTTTGTAACCTTGCTTTTTCCACTTAACATTGAAAAGTTTTCCATGTGAAATAAGATAATAAGTTCGGTATAATCTATAGGGCGCTTAGTCCTTCATTGTAAGATTGTACCATAAATAATGTCCATTGTAAAATGGGTTGTTTTTATTTCATTATTATGAACAGTGTTACCTGTACAACATTACAAGTATGTTAAGGTTTTGTTCTTAATACATTCTGTGTTATTTTTATTTTTCAACAGGTGTTTGCATATGACCATTGTTTCTGGTCTATGGATGAATCTGTCAGAGAAAAGTATGCAGGTAGGAGTACAGTGTCCTATTAACTACTGATAATATAGAAAAGGTGTTTTAATATTCTTACTACAAAGTATACTGGTCTTATTTTGTGTAACTTTAAAAACTATATAGAGAACTTCCCCCTACCTTTGCTGTTAGAGTTTTTACATTGATTGGGAAATGTGAGATCACAGTGCCATGTTCTTGGTATGAGATGATAGTTAGATTATTAGGGTACACAGCTGAGGTTATCACATGCATTCCCCAGGCCTTACATGGACAGTGCTCATTAATTCAAGTTCATATTGTATCAAGCACACTGAAGCCACTTAGATTCCCTTAGCTGTCTGTGGTGTGGCCCGGAGAGGCAGCTTGTTTTACCACAAGGGAGAAGAACCAACACAAAAGAAAATGAGTTTAATCCAGGCTCTGCTGACTGCCTCTGTGGCTTTGAGTAAATCCCTTAAGCTTCCTGTCTTCCGTTTTCTTCGATAGAGAGGAATGTATGGTGTTCTCTCTAAATTTACCAGGAATTCTGTTACTCTACTGTCCTCAGTAAGGACTGTCTGAAACCTCTGTTCACACGAAGTTTAGAGCTACAGTGACAGCCTTTTATTTCCTTTATTCCTTACTGCCTCTGACACCTATTTCTAAGCAGTGTCTTTTAATTATTGAGTGTCATCTTGTACTGGCTTTTGTCACGAAAAACAGTAGTACTACACCTGTTTTAAAAAGTTGAGGTTAATTTGTTGTAGCTGGGCCAGTGATGACTATAAGGATCGCTTCAGTATGGCAAGTTACTGATCTGGTAAAGTAACTAGGAAGTGAGACATAATGGAGGGCTATTTATAGCATTAAAAAATCTGACAAACATAACAGCGTCCAGTTCTTTCAGATTATGTTCAGGACTCAAAGAGGTTGAATGGCTTTTCAAGGTCACGTTTAACTACTGACATATTTAATTTAGCCTGTGGAGGAGAATTTGACCCTGTTATTTTGTCCATTATTGAAAGCTAGAAAAAATCTACAAAAATCTTCTTCCCTCCCATAGCTGATATGTATTAAAGGCCCCGTAATTAAAACTTACCATTGAAGAAAAGGAGAAGGGATTAATATATATATATATGATTGTTTTGAACTCTAGTACCACATGAATAAAGCATTAGCTAAGTGGTATATAGTTAAATTTAGGCCCAACTAGGCCCTAAGTATAAATTTTGGATATTGAGAATCATTGTTTATAAAATTACCAGTTCATCTAAGCTTTTGGCATTGCAGAGGGTTTTTGGACAGTGCTCATTAATTCAAGTTCATATTACCAGGAGCTTTTTTACTCATTTTCTATCATGTGCTAACTAAAAATACCTGAAAGACGTAAGCCTTTGGAAGCATTCATCAAGTTTAAAAACTGTTTGGAGATGAAACAAGCTGAAAAAAATAGGTGCATTTGTGAGGGTGTTGTGTGTGTTTTTTTTTTAATTGTTCACAGGTGGTTTTGGTTTAAAACATCCTTTTTTTCTTTCTCTCTTTCAGGTCAGGATGATGTTTTCAAGTGCCTTGGGGAGAATATCCTTCAGAATGCTTTTGATGGCTACAATGCTTGTATCTTTGCCTATGGACAGACAGGTAATATTAAAAAATATATTTTCTTTAAGCTTTAAGGATCATAGAGAAAGTACCAAAAAGAACATGTACTGTTAGCATCTTCCCAGTATGATTGATAAACATTTTGACTTCTGTACCTTTGTGGTTAACAGGAAAGAAAATTTATTTGACATGAAAGGGTCACTTTGTAAGGGTATATTATATATAGCTTGTGCAATGGAAAATTATTCTGCACAGTAAAATGCTTATGATATTTTCAAGAGGCAGTATATATAGTGGTTAGAGGAGCACAGACATGGAGTCAGGCTAGCCCAGCTCCAGCCCTGCTCCTGTTCCTGACCAGCTGTGCAACTTGCACCTCAGTTTCCCTATCTGCAAAATGTTGATGATCAGAGACCTCCCTTACAGGGTTATCATAATGTGTTAGCAACATTTAGAATAAGGCCCAGTACTTAAGAAGTGGTGTGTTAGTTTTAGGTAGTTATGATCGTGATAAAGTGTCAAGTGATAAAAGCAGTAACTTGTATTATTAAAAGTATGTTTATAAAATCATTGCTACTAAAAAAATGGAAAAGAATTATTCCAAAGTTATGTCTGTAAGTGACTTAATTTATAACTTTTTATTTTCCTGTGTTCTATAAATTTTCTTTAATGAATATGTGTTTTTGGTACAAGGGAGAAAATAATTTTATAGTACAAGAAGAAGATTACTCTTTGGTTTCTACCCTGTTGCCAAAGAGTAGTATGTCAATTTGTGCTGGGGCCCACGGGGATAACATGTATTTTTTGTGCTTAGTGGCTGGGAGCAGGCACAGTGGTATTCAATGTATAGATATTCTCAGTTAATTTTAGGAAACTGTTCAGACCTCAGTATTTTTCAGTTGTTTTAGGTACTTTTGTTTTTCTTAAAGCATGAAGATGGTTAAAGAAGGTTTTTTTTTTTTCTTAAATGATGTTAATTTTGTCTCTTCCATGTGAGGTAGAAAGGCTTCTATACTTACTAGTCTCATCACTATATTTGGGTATATTTCTTATTTTATATTTTGCATTTTGCTAAGTGTTAGTAACTTATTATGAGCAATGGAAAGAGGATTATGTATTTAAATTTCTCAAAGAGTCAGTAATAGCTTTGATTTCCATTTTTTAGGATCTGGAAAATCTTATACCATGATGGGTACAGCTGACCAACCTGGATTAATCCCAAGACTTTGCAGTGGACTCTTTGAACGAGCTCAGAAAGAGGAAAATGAAGAGCAGAGTTTTAAAGTAGAAGTGTCCTATATGGAAATTTATAATGAGAAAGTTAGAGACCTTCTTGACCCCAAAGGGTAAAAGACTTTGAGATTTTAATGTTACAGTATTATGGACTGAAACAGACTTCATAGACTGGCTTAAGTGAAATTTTTTATATTCAGCTCTAGTAGAGAGTTATTTATCTGGTTATTGTCTGTGATTTGTTTTTAGTTACGTCCAGTGGCTTCCTGCAGCCAGTTCTGGGCATTTGAACTTAGGGCTGGGTCCGGGCAGGGAAGTGTGGTCGAGCAGCTTGTATTCGCATCATGCTGCCCTTCTCAGTTTCATCCACAGCTGCAAATAAGAGCTATGTCAGGAAAATTAAGTCACTTGGTGTCAGAATGACTGGTATTCTTAATCAAGCACATTTTTTTTTTTTTAAGACCAAGAAATTTCAGGTTGCATTCAGCTGTTTGTTTGCAGGCTGTGAGGTGAGGGAGAGGCATGATCAGAGATGTGAAATGTGGACGTTGGGGCAGTTAATTTTAAAGATTCCCAGAGGGAAGAAGTGTCCCATTTTATAGCACAGCTTGGAAAGAGAAGTGCCTCAAAAGCATTTTAGAAAGCTTAAAAATGCTGTTCCGACTCTGCAGTCATAACTGAACCTAATGAGGAAGATCAGAGGTATTGGAGGAAATCTGTTCATTGCCCAGAGAATTCTCGGAGTTCAGATTTTAAGGAAGTGCAACAATGGAGAAAAAGAAACAGATAATAACCACCGTGGTGGCTTCTTAATGTAAAAACAGTGTCCAGAAGGTCAAAGAGCCAAATAAGCTGAGGCTTATGGAGGACAACAACGGGACATTCAGTTATGTTTGGATGAAGAAAGTGGTCAAGGAAAGATGACCTTAGAGGCAGTGAATCATTGTGATGCTCAGTCAAGAGAAAATGGCATTTGTCAGCTCCTCCCTAGCACCCAGTTTCTTTGACAAAGATGCTGATCATTGGGCACTTGGATTGGCACTTAGCATTTCTTTACAAAACGTTACTTAACATCTGAGTGATCATTATTATATGCCAGGACTGTGCACGTCTTGGGGGAAGAGCTCAGTGTGGACAGAATGAGAGTTTGGAAACAAATAATTGTATTACAGTGCAGTAGTGCTACAATAAATTGTAAAGAAGGCTTATACAAAAAGGGTGAGGGCAAAAAGTGAAAGGCTGTCTTTGCCCAAAGAAGGGAAGGCTCTGCAGAGGGTGCTTGATGAATTTTGTGCTGAGTACGAGTTTGTCCATGGAGAAGTTAGGTGAGAGCCCTTCGGGCGTAGGGTCATTCTGTGCCAAGGCAGGGAGGTGTAAAGAAATCACTGACGTGGAGGGTGACCCAGCTGTTCGGTGTGGCTGGAGGGCAGCATGCGTGAAGTCAAAACAGACCAAAGGGAGCTGGACGTAGGAAGGTTAGAGCCTAAGTACTTACATCTTGCCAAGTGTTATGCCCTTGTGTTTTTCCTGACTCTGCCTTGAATACTTTTTCTTGCACCTTCACCTCTGTGAAGAGCATCACTTTCTTTGAGACCCCAGACCTAATCATTCCAGAAATTCTTAGCTGACTTCATTCTTGTGTTTTGTGTTCCACAATGCTTGTGTGGAATAATTTGTCCTTTACTATCTACAGTTTGCTCATAGTCTTTAGTCATGTCTTGTATGTTTGGCTTGTGTATGGTTTAGCAGTTAACAGCATGGGCTTGAGATTCACAAAGCTCTGGATCCAGGCCCTCTAATTCTTACCTGGTGGGCAAGATCCTTATTCTCCCTTGGCCTCTTTTGTACAGGGGGATGGTAATGTCATACAGTATCTCAAGGGCTATTGGGAAGACAGGCTCGGGTGATGCACATGAGGTCTTCGAGCACTTACTGTCCCATAGTGAGTGCTCAGTAAGTGTGGGCTGTGCTCTTGTTGCCTCCGTGAAGATTTCCTGAGGGTTTTTGTAGTGTTTCTGAAGAGTTGAAGACAACGGATTAAAACTCTAAAGGCGATCTCTTTTCAGTGAAAGAGAACTTGGATTTTGTATTCAAGTACTTACTTTATTCATCGTCTACTATGTGTACTAATGTTTTACTCAGCACATAATACAGTGTACATTATCTGTAAGAGAAAAATGAAAGGAAACAATACATCTTGAGATCAGAACTAAGTCAAATATTCTATGTCTATTTCATGTATAGTTCTATAGTAGTAAGAGAAGTTTTCAGTGGCTAACTTGAGGGTAGTGTAAAGTTCTAAATTATTAGAAAATAATATCAAGTTCATAAAAGGAAAATCACTTGTAATCTCATCAACAAATTTTTTTTCCATAATGTTTATATTTTTTAAAGAGCTTTTTGTGACAGAATTCACATGCCATAAATCATGAACAAATATCCCTCATCTTTTTTGGTTGATATCATTAATTATGCTCTATACTCTTGGTTTTTGTCAGATGCCCTGTAGTAGGCTTATTAGTTCCTTATTAGTGCTTGAATTTTTAGTTTTATTGACTTCTTTTTCATTACATACATTGAAGTGATCATGTGTTTTTTTTTCCCTGCTTCAGTCTGTCAGTGTGGTAAAGGGCATGGATCTTTTTCCAATGTTAAAACATTATTAAATGTTAAACAATTATTAAATGTTAAATTATTAAATATTAAAACAATGTTAGCAGCCCTGAGATCAGTCCAGATTTTAAATCAGTGTGTTTTTAGATCATTATTGAATTCAGTCTGTGTTTTTGTCTTTGTTCACAATTGAGACTGGTCTGTAGTTTCCTTTCTTGCACAGTTAACATTTATTGAGTTTCTTCTGCCCTTTTATACGCTTTCTGTGATATGACAAGCAGATTGTTTGTTTGACTGCATTCTTTGTGGAAGTAAACAGGCATCCCACAATGTACCCTTTTGAGAGATGTGATATTTTACCATATTATGAACAATTCTTACCAGTGGAGATTTAAAATGTTGGTTTAAATTCTTCTGAGATCAGATTGGTTGGTTCTGTTACTTGGGCTCTTCGTTGAAATTTACTAAGTGTTTTTATGGAGCACAGTTGAGTCCTTCTAAAAGCAGGTTATTTAAAAATCATTTCTTTGTTTTTAATGAACAGAAGCCGTCAAACATTAAAAGTCAGAGAGCACAATGTGTTGGGACCCTATGTGGATGGACTTTCTAAACTGGCTGTCACAAGCTACAAGGTAACAAAATATCCTTTATGTAAACTACTTAAATTCACTGTAGCAAAATTTTTTGTGGTTTAATTTGTGATGATTATTTTTCTTGAAATTAAAAAAAAATTTATAATAACATCACTTAATCACTTTTTACAGAAATCTTTCTTAAAAAGCTATGTCTGGCTCTTAGGACAGTTTAATTTTAAGAGAAGATATACATACTTGCAAGGCATACCTATTTATTGTGACACACATATTTTTCTTATATTTTGTGAGCTCTAAAATGGTGAGCTCTTAAAATTATAAATCGCAGCATCTATTTCTTCCTTAGGAGTACATAAGGTAATGAAGTTGTTTATGATATAATTGATTTAATTAAATAAAATGTATGATTTGAGCAGTTCAAATTCAAAGCCTGTTTCTAATTTGAGAGAATCTCTCATAGGCCTTTACTTATTAGCTCTCTTCATTTTCAAACTTCACTTTAGACTTTGTATGGATCCATCAGGCTTTATATGTTGGGGACTTGGGGGTGGGGCCAGAGGCTGTGATGTAATGTACATTGAATGAAGAGCCCAACAATGTTCATCTGGTGACACTTGATCCTCTTGTATGACTGACTCCTCTGTGATTCTGAATCATTACTCTGCCTCACCAAGCCTCTTTGTGCTAATTTGCAAAATGGAAATGAATTTTATTGTCATGATTATCTTATGAGGTAGGTTCATTTGTTCCTTTATTCAGAAATCAGTTCTATCATGTGGTCAATGATAGTTCATTTAGTAAACATTAGTTACTTCATTTGGTAAACATCTGTTGAACACCTGTCATACCTGTCATATGGCATTGTGCTAGGTGGCGAGGATATAAAAAATGAATGAGAGGGTCCATTCCCTCAAGTTGCTGACAGATGTTATAAAGGTATTATAAAATAATGTGATTATAAGTGCAGTGAGAGATGCATATTCAGGATTCATGGTAGTTTGGAGGAGGGGTTCCTAACTTAAATGGGTATGTAGGTGTCTGGGGAGGGTAGTGTCTAGGAAGGCTTCCTGGAAGAGATCAAAGGAGATGATGCATGTGAAGTCTTTGATAACTCTAGAGTATTACATAAGTGGTAAGTATTGTTGTTATTTTAATAATAACTTGAGAACCTGTTTATACAACATTAGAGATCAAGATGTTTTTGAAAGCTCAGAGGAGACTGGAAAGTATGAAAAGACATTTGCTTGTTTAAAAAATTAAAAGTCTGAATACAAAGTTTATGCTTGAGAAAACAGATTAGAGACCAAAGTATAGGTTAAATAGGATAAAGCTTTTACAGGAAGCTGCGGGATCATCAGATTTAATGGAACTAAAATGGATTTGGAATGGATCTAGAAAACTGAATTTTACCTTTTGCTGCTGTGTTCCCATTCTGGTACCCACTTATACTTATTTTTGTAGTCAGTTTTTACTTTGAGGCTTTAAATTTATAATACTGAATTTTTCCTTCGACATTATTCTTTTTCATTTACACAGAAAACAGAAAATTATGATTTCCAAAGATTTTCATGTATATATATATATATATATATTTGAGTGAACAAATGAATGAAGGAAGGAAGGAAGGAATGATGAGAGGGCTGGTATGGTGGCTCCAAAGATGCCATTAGGGACCTACATTCCTTCCAGCTTTCCACAGAGCCAGCTCTGTAGTAATGTCCAAATGTTCAAGATGTTGGTTAGCTCTTAGAACCAAGATGTGGTATCGTTCCTACTCCCTTTACAGAGAATTCCCAGATGACTTTCTATCTCATTCACTAAAACCTAGTCATATGGCCAGACTGAGCTTCTTGGGCGTTTGGGAAACGCTGTCTTTTAGTTCCTCTGTAACATGCTGTGCTGAAGATTGGGTTCCTTTACTGGAAATAAGAGGAGACTGGGTAAAAGGGAGGCAACTTGTACACTCTTCTGCACATACCATCTTTCTTGTTTCTCATTAAAAGTCCTTGTACAGTAGATGATGTTACAGCTCTGTATTGTTCTTAGCTCTGTATTGTTCTTTATGAAAGTAGAATTCAGATTGGCTAAGTAACTGTGTTAGAGCTTATAACATTTTAAAAATGAAGATCCTATGATCTTGCAATTGTATCTTGCTGTCTCCTTTCTAGCAGTAATGGCAACAAAGTAGTAAATCTTTGCAGAAAATTATTCTCTTCACATTCTCATTAAAAAAAACAAATCTGATAAGATATACACTGATGTGGTAATGTGTAGTGCTATGCCTGCATGAAGTGGCTATAAATTATTCTTATTTGTTGCATATTCATATAATCTAATTTGATTTAACAATGAAGCCTCTATTGCTCCTATAGTTAAAGAACACTGTATTTTTAAGATTTCTAGATTAGATAAGGATTGGCATGGCAAATTTATTCATCTTGTGGGACTCAACACGTAGCTTCTAAACTTTTTAGTTCCCAGCCAAAGCTGCCACTTCATTTGGCATCTACAGAAAATGATGTATTTTGTTTGAATTTTCAGAGACAATATTGGCAGTTATCCGCTGTGGGGCTTAGAGTTCATTGCAAGACAAAGTGTAAACTCCAGATGTGGTTAATTAAGTAGTGAAACTTGTAATGCATTTTGTCGCATGGCAGAGTTCTAATATTTATGAGACAGATAATGAAATGTGTGTCTATGACTTGTTTCCACTTAGGATATTGAGTCTTTGATGTCTGAGGGTAACAAGTCTCGTACAGTTGCTGCCACCAACATGAATGAGGAGAGCAGCCGATCTCATGCGGTCTTCAAAATCACCCTCACGCATACTTTATATGACGTGAAGTCTGGGGTAGGTGTGCAGATGCAGGACCTTCTTTTTTTTTTCTTTTAATTTCTAAAGTGGATCACGGTCTGTCTGTCTTATTCCCTTCAGGTGTTAGATGATTTTAAATCCTACCCAGACATCACTTAGGACTCAGGACAAGAAACAGAAGCCACTCTAGGCAAACAGGAAGGGGTTTAGTGGAGGGAATCAGGTGATGACAGAGTTGTTAGAACAGCTAAGGAGGAGGAGGTTCTAGACCGAATCTCTAGGAATAACAACATGTATCCATCACGGGTGGTACTACCCCTGAGGCCAGCCCCAGAGCTCGGCGCTACAGGCTCAACCCTTGCCTGATGCTGGATGCAGCAGTCTGTGAGGCTGCCGCTTGGCGCCCCGGGAGCTGAAGAATGGAAGCTGGGGCAGTGTGGTGGGAAACCTCATGTTCCCATGATCTTGCTTACTGTCAGAAAAAGCCAAAACAGACAGGGGGGATGGCCTCTCTTTCACTTCTGCTTTCCAAATCTTAGGCAGACTCTAAGTCATATCCTGCCTGAACTTGGCTACAAGGGAGTCTTGAGAAGTATAGGCTTTAGCTCTCCGACTAAAGGAAGGTGGAACAGAAGCTAAACAAGCTGATGGGCCACAGTCTCTGCACAGCATTTTTTGAGGTTGAGTATTTGGCTCTGAAGCGTATGAAGAGTAAACAGAGCCAGAGACATATATGCTCCTTCTACACTGAAACTTCTCTGTTGATTTGTACATTTGTGTTTTCCCTCTTACTTTTTTTGGGAACGTTTGCATATTTTTACTGTGATGCCTATCTTCCAGCAGATCAGTTGCAAATACCAGAAGCTAAAATAATCACCCAGGCAAAGCACTCTCTTTTGGCAAAATTTTCACTTGCTGAAAGCATATTTTTCTTCTTTTACCACCACAGCAAGATTAGTGTAACAACAAAACGTTCTTTGTTTTCTATTTCCTTTTCAGCATAAAACAAAAAACATACTGATGGCTTTTTTTTAAACCAAAAGTACTTTTGCTTTGGGAAGCTGAATATCCTTTTGTTTGCAGCATGTTTATTTATGGAGATAAATATAAATGTATATTTTAAAGAAAAGTTAAAAAAATGAACTAGTCTATAGATTTTAGCATTGCTTTCCCACATTTCTTGTATTGCTGCTGAAGTGTAAAATATTTATTAGTGTGTGATTTGATAGAATGTTTCGATAAAGGAAAATAACAGCGTATGTGTATATATAAAATAGCTAGAAAATATGTAAATTTAATACCTGAAATTATGAAATAAGGGGATTTTCTATGATTAATATGAACAATTTTAGAAAGCACTGAGGTTTGGAGGGTTCCTTCTATTGTATAAAAGTCAGATTAATGTCTTTTTTTGTATCAGTAAGAATTGCAAATATTTTCCCTCAGGATTATTGGTAAATATTCATGAAACTTTAAGTTTAGTTTCATATCATATTAAAATTTCTATCTATAGGTGCTCTTGTATACTTCTCAATGAAAATTTGATTGGGTTCCCTTCAAAATGTCCCATTTTTGGTGGCAATGTTTTTCTGAGATAACTTTCACTCTGTCTGGATTAGTAGAGTTGTGTATAATTTTGTGTGTCTCCTTAGGTTATATAGTTTTCTTATACTGTTTCATAGCAGCACAAACTAATTTTGAAATAACAGTAAATAATGCCAAAGTAAAGGATTTAGATAATAAATGCATCGGTGGAGACATATCACTTCCTGTATTCTTCAACTATTCATTGGTTTCTCTTAACTTGCTTTCTAGACATCTGGAGAGAAAGTGGGCAAACTGAGCCTGGTGGATTTAGCGGGCAGTGAGCGAGCAACAAAAACTGGAGCTGCAGGGGACAGGTTGAAGGAGGGGAGCAACATCAACAAGTAAGATTTTCAGAAGCTTATTTTCATTGCTTTTTCGATTTAATAGCCAAATAGAAGAACTTCTGTAGTTACTGAAAGAATAAGATACTGGAACGACTGTGGCTATAATGAATAGTTTAGAATTATTTTTAGGTATGTATTTATTTATGGGCCCAGGCTGAGGAGCACAGCCTTGGTCAAGTCAGAAGTTTCTCCAGCACAGACCTATGGGGATTTGGGGTCCCGGAATTCTTTGTCCCAGGAAGTGGCCTTGTGTAATGTTGGACGTCTAGCCACTAGATGGCGGTAGTACCTGCCGCTTCTCTTCCCCCCACCCTCATGACAGCCCAGGTATCTCAGACTGCTCTCTGTGGGGGCAGAGCAGCCCTGCTTGAGAACCGTTGGTCTGAGTTATAAAAAAGAACAATGATAATTAATTGGTCTATCGGAGCCCAGCGCTGACCTTGACCCAGGTGTCACTTAACAACAACAGGTCAACTAGCCATATTGGGATTTCCTTCTTATGACTGTGTGGTGCTTATTTATACCAAGAAGCTAGAGTTTTATAAAGTAATATTTTGTGCACTAATTCCTTCACATGGTTATATTTTCTACCTCGCACAAACTAAATTGTCAGCTCCTTTTGGGCAAGAATATTTTCTGTCCTTGTGGCTCCCAGAGAAACACATAGCGAGTTAGTAAGTTGTAAGTAATCACCTGGAAATCATAGACCACCATCATCTCGATGCTGTGTGGTTATTGAATGGCGGTATGTATGTAAATGTTTTTGCTTTGCACTAAGATTTAATTAATTGCATTGTGTTAGTGGCTTCCTTTCTTAAAGATATGTGGTGATTGTGTTTTAATCTTGACCTAAAGATTTATAGCTCACATTGTTATTTACAAAAATGAAAAAAAAAATAATCGAGCTAAGCACTTTTATTGCTTACTGTAAATAGTGTTGGAGGAATATCGGTTTTTAGAGTTTATGTGTTTTATAGCTAAGCCACAGAATGCTGACAGCAGTGCTGTTCTCATGCAGGTACAAAGGCATCTTGCTGCTCAATCTTTTTGCTAAAACGTGACATTTGATATACTTGGTTTTTTATGATTATACGGTTTGTTGCACCATGCAGGTCCCTCACAACCCTCGGTCTGGTTATCTCAGCCCTAGCAGATCAGAGTGCTGGCAAAAACAAGAATAAATTTGTTCCATATCGTGACTCAGTTCTCACTTGGCTGCTCAAAGTAAGCTCCCCCTGCCTCCCTTTCTGGCATACTCTTGGTGGTTGGTAAACAGGAAGAATAGAGTGGACTATTAATCCCTCTCAATATCTTTTTTTCCATCAGTGTTCAAATTTACAATCATTAAGGTCTTATCTGGTAATCACAGTTTTAATGGATTATGCATAGGTTTCTTCCTGACTCACCAGAACCTGGAAGCAATGGAATTTGGGAGCACCCTGAATCACACAATTGCCTCTGAGATTTGGGGAATAGAGCAAGAAGCTAGTGCGAATCCGATAGCCGAGTGAGTCATAGCGAAGGAGTTGCTCCTGCCCTACCGACTCAGCGGCACTGCTCCAGCTTCTCAAAGGCTCCTTTTGTTTGACTGACATTTTGGACCTAGTTTTTCTGTTTAACTTCAAGACTGCTTCTCGTAATCATTGTAATTTACTCTAAGCTTATTAAAGGTGTTGTTTAAGGATACAGTGTAGAGTACACATTCATTGGGTAATTGATTCCATATGAATATGAGAAATGGAAATGAGAAAGAAAAAAACCTGTGAAGTGCTATTAGGAGAACATAAATATAAGACACTCCTTGCCCTCTAATTCTCAGAGTCTAGTAAGGGAGATAAGATGTGTCCCAAAATATTATAACGTGACTTAGTGATTCATCGAGCATGATAGTAACGACATGGAACAGGAGTTTGGTGGACAGACGATTTCCACATTTCTTCTCCTCTTCAAGGATTCCTTTTGTTCTGATAGAGATGATCTGGTGAACTGGATATCGTACTGGGAGTTACAGGATATAAAGTTTAATTCCTTATAGTTGCCAAGCTAGAACAAAATTTTGTACCCAATACTCTTTTTTTAAATGGAGAAATGCTTTTATGAGCCATGTTTAGTTTTGTGATGGCTTATTTTCTCAATGATCAAGAATTTATGGAACACTTGTTATTCACTATGTTAGGGGTTGAGAATATAAAGACCAGGTAAACACAGGCCGCTCAGTAGAGGGCACACTTTTGAATAGTCCACAACATGGTTTAGGGCACCATGTTTGTTAAGGGAGTGGGATTTTCTTCTAATTCCTTCTCTTAAGGGGTTACTAGTCTTCAGTTTTACTTTCTAAAACTCTGCACACCATTTGAGAATGCTTTACTAAGTGAAATTTGCCACAGTAGAAAATAAGGTAGATTGTTTCCTTTGGCCAAAATGAAGTAAAAGTAGAAATTAAAAACAAAAGGATAAGCCAAAGGTGATCATTAAAAACCACTTGTAAATAACTCTTGAATTAAAGGGGTATTACGGAACATTATACTACCCGGGAAATAATTGTACTGGTCTTCATATTTCAGTAATTAACCTTGAAATCGGATTTATTTAATTTCCAGAAGAAATCTCGATAAGATACTTACTTCTTCTTTGGACTTTCCAAGAAGCCTTTCCTGATTATTCATGATTATTCCCTGGATATGTGTGATTTTTAAAGAGAGACTATTTATTGTTCAGGTGTTTCAATGCTACTATTTTAGTCCACTGAAACCAACAATAGGAAATATCTTTTGCTAAATTGACTGATGTAGTTAAAAGGGTCCAGGTAATTACTGAGTGTGCCTTCTTCCACAGTCTGGAGGCAGGAGACCTTGTTCAGGAGAATCAAGTGCTCTGCAAAGTGCTTCACTTACATCATCTCATTTACTCCTTGGAAGGCAGGTGGTGTTCCCATTTTACAGATATGACAATGGATGCAGAACTAGTAAATGGCAGAAATAAGTATGGAATCGAGGATTGACTCTACTGCCCATATTCTTTTACCTAGGCTGTCTATGCTCTTCTTGTCAGAGGTTATTTTTCACTAGAAAGAGAAGCACTTTTACCATTGATAGAAACTGTTGAAAATACTGGAACTTGAAGAACAAAATTAGACTTTATCTTCTGTTTAGTAAAATTAGGTTATAATTGTATCTTCTATGTGTTAATTCTTAGGCTAAAAAAGTGAACAGTTCTCTTGAAAAGAGTATGACCTTCTTTATCATATTTGACTTTTGCAGAAACATCATAAGTAGGGACATTTGTGCAAAACATAGTCACTCTGGGGTTTAAGTGATTTCCCTAAAGCCCTCTTGGAAGCCATTGATAAGCAAATCATTCTCCTTTGAAGTGGCTTTTATGTCCCTGTTGCTTTTTCCTTTTTTAAATTCTTAATCAGTCTAAAGCTCCCTGGTCCTTATTCACCTAGGTGTGATTTGAGTATTCTTCAGCATAACTGTCATCTAACTCATAAAATTGTTACCCTTTATAAGATGTGCAATTCTTAAAGTGTTTTTCTTTTTTACATTGTATTTGTGTTATGCTTTTGTTCTCTTGATATTTATGACATCTTAAGAGTCAGGAACTTTGGCTACACTTGGTGGTTTGGGAGTGGACACATGAGTCCCCTTCTCTTAGGCAAGGTTGAGTGTTTTCTTATTTGGTAAGTGGTCAGTTGAATTATTCTGTATTAAGATGATTTTTTGCTTCTCTGTATAACCTTCTAAATATGGGTCTCTTAACATCAATAAAGCCAAAATCGGAATGCCTCAATAATGAATATCTTTTAAATTCATCCACTCTTACCCCTTCTTATTGCCACTTACCTAGTGAAGGTGACTTTCATCTCTCTTCTGGATGACTGAAACATCTCCCTTGGGCTTTCTTAGTTCATTCCATTCTTTACAGTTAGGTTGCAGTATCTTTCTAAATTAATACTCTCCTTAGACCTAAATCTCTTCAGTGATTCTCCAGAAGCCCTTATGATGACATCCAAATTCTTTAATGACTTGAGACTTACTGGGTGGGCCCTTTGTAATCTGATGGCTCCCTACCTTTCATTGTTCATCTTTTGCTCTGGGTGTTACCAACTCTGTCTAAGTGATGAGGACTCTTACTTCTAGGATTCAACTCTGAAACATTCTTCCTCCTTTCTCCAGTCTCTCCTGCAACTTCCAACCACCTTTACTTGGGCGATGCTTGTTCACCTCAAGGTCTCAAATGTCACTTTCTGTGGGCTTTCAAGACTGGGCTTCCTGCTGTGTTGCTGGTTTCTTAGACCATACTGTAGTCGTACTTCAGTTCTTTACTCATGCGATGTTTGCTCACCAGCGCCAGCCTCTAGATGGTAAACTCCATGAAATGTTGAATGAATGGATATTTTCACCTCTACTCTGAACTAGCATTATGACCTTTGGCAAGTCTGCCCATCTTCCTGGTCTCAATTTCTCATCTGTAAAATGAAATAATTTGATTAGATGACTTCAAAGAGTTCTCTCAGCTTTAAAAAATTCTGACTTCCAAAATTAAATTTCTTTCCTGTGTCTGTTTAACTTGCAGTCGCCACATTCAAAACAAAGCTTTCCTGATTTGCCTAATAAAACAATTAAAGAGTAAACTAAAAGCTTTATACTTTCTCTCTTAATGAATGCCAGTTCTTTTGTTGCTGTTTCTTTTTGCTAATGGCATGAGGCCATTTTTGGATGTAAGCATATTGTTGCTCTTGCTCAAGGACTTTTAAAATATCAAGTATTTGCTGTTTGCCAGGTTTCCTTTTCTCAGCACAAACTGAAGCACCATATGCATGCTTTTCTCCTTTGATAGTTACTGTGACAGATCTGCTTTCACCCAATAGCATTTGCTGTCACGTGGGCTCCCAGAATGCGGCAGTTCTTGAAGGTTAGTACTCCAGCCCAGTGCTGCTCGTGAACTAAATTGCAATCTGAGATGTGATTTCTGTGATCTTTATATATAACATTGGAATTTCTTTCATGTGCATGCGATTCTTCTTGGCATTTTTCTGGAAGCTGCCAGAGCTGGGCACCAACAATGTGGGATCAGTGTCGAGAGGCGAAGAGTGAAGAAGCAATCATCCAGGCATCGCAGAAATCACTTTTGCTTCCTAAAGCCCAGATTACTTATTTTCCCTTCTTTTTCATGTATTCAAGTGCATTTCCTCGAGAAATAAAATAGCTATGTTTTCTATGGAAAACCAAGTTATGTTGAGCTGCTAGCAATACCTGGGTAATCATTTTGTTCCTGGCGTTAGGACAAAGTAACTTGGAAAGGCGTCAGGTCGCCATACTTCTTCCAGGTCTGAACCCTCCCTGTGTTGCCAGGGGCTCTTTGGTTGCTGTGGTGTTGTGGGTAGCTGGCAGGGAGTGGGAATCATACTGGACTTGAAGGCAGAATACAGCTGGCCTAGAATATTGTTCAGTTTAGTAGTTCTGGATCTTTAAGCAGGGTATTTAACCTCCTTTGTCAGAACAACCTGGATTTTTTTAATCCGTAAAATGGGGATACTGATAATGCAGTACACAAAAGACTGAGGACTAAGTCAAGTCTATGCACAGGATTGTGTAAATCACAGATTGCTTGAACAAATTTTAGATAGACATACTGGAGAAACGTTGTATTTTCAAAAGTAAGAATTTTCTATCTGTTAGTGCTGCCCACAGGGAGAGTTGGCTTGCTTGTGACCTAATGAGTTCCCCATCACTGGTCTGCCTCAGTATTCTAACTTGAGAATCTCTAATTCAGTACATTCTATTACTTCAAGAGGGCATTGCATCTGAGATGGCATGTTAGTGTATTAGTAGGAATCTATTGCTGTGTAACAAATTACCCCTAAAACATAACCACCGGAAACAATGATGACTTACTATCTCAGAGTGTGCCCGAGTGCAGCCTCACCCCGGTCACGGCCGGGGTTTCTCAGGCGGCTGCAGTCAGTGCCACCGGGGTGCAGTCATCGTGCGGCTTGGCTGGGTTGGATCTGCTCCCCCAAGTGGTCGCTCGCAGGCTGCAGATGATCTTTTTCCATGCTCAGTTCCGAGGTCTCTATGGGCCACCTCACCTCAGGGCAGCGTCTCCCCAGAGTGAGAGAAAACACGACAGAAGCCACATCTTTTTGTAATCTGTGCCAAAGAAGTGGCAGGCTAGGGCTTCCACTGTATTCCTTTCCTTAGAGGTGAGTCACAAGCCCTGCCACACCCAGGCAAGCGATGGTTAGGGGCGCAGGGCACCGGGAGGCGGGGTTGGTGGCCGCCGTGGAGGCTGCGTGCCACGCATGGGTTATGTGCAGCCTGGGCGCCATGAAGCGGAGGCTGTAGACTTGCTTCCCAAGTCTAGTTTTCTAATTCTGAGTTAGATCTAGTTGTTTTTAGTGGTCTTAAGAGAAAGTAGTTTTTGTGAGTTTGTTGGAGCGCGCTCCAAGGCCCCTCTCACTGTAGGACCTGTTTCAGTTGATCAAGAGGAGTTTCTCCTCCTCAACACCCTTGTCAGAGCTGTACGAGTGATCGTGTAGACCAGGAAGCCTGGTTTCCTAGTTTTTGAAGTACTGTCAGAGGGAATAAAATGAAATACTTGCCGTATATCTTTTGTTTTCTAAGACTAATTTTACCTTCTGTTTTTAAAAATGTACAAGGTGCTTGATAGCTTTTAACAGCAACACTTTCTGAGTCATAATTTGGGCTTAACAGTGATTCCAAATACATGGCGGTGTGGAGTAGATTGTGTAGGTAATCACTCTTTGATCAGATAACAAATAATATCACACTTTTTCAGTTCCTCTAAGGAAGGTTTATGTAGGCATGTAAGAAATAACCCTTTCTTACTCTGAGTAATTGGCTGACTTTTGGTATCATGATACCTGGTAAAAGAGGACAAATTGACTTAGAATTAATTTTTAGTAAACTGAAATGAATGTAGCCTTCCATATGTTTCTCTGTCCTCTCTCAAAAAGTGTCATCCAGGGCTGCAGTCATAGCGCGGCTTGACTGGGGTTGAATCTCACCAAAGCTCCCCTTTGCAGAAAACTAGCTTGGCAGAGAAGAAAACACATGGGTCTGGGAGTCAGTATACTTGGATTTTAGTCCTAGCTTTGTTCTTAAGTAGGTGTTTGACCTTGGCACGTTACCTCACCATTTCTGGCTTCCAACTTTGTTCTATGATGTCTTCTTCCAACTTTAAAATGCCACTCAGTTTCTTTTTTCCTCTAGGACAGTCTTGGGGGTAACAGCAAGACGGCCATGGTCGCTACTGTGAGTCCAGCAGCGGATAACTACGATGAAACCCTTTCAACTCTGCGGTATGCAGACCGTGCCAAGAACATTGTGAACCACGCTGTGGTGAATGAGGATCCTAATGCACGAATTATCCGGGATCTCCGGGAAGAAGTAGAAAAGCTCCGAGAGCAGTTAACCAAGGCAGAGGTATAAGGCACAGCTGTGCGCAGCTGCGCGATGCATCATGAGTCTGGGAAAATGTCCTAAGCTAGAGCTTGAAATTTCTCCCCTTAGCTGTAAGTGATGAACACTCCACTTACAATTTTTGAATTTCCTCTAGGAAGAGAAATTTGAGATGAGTAATACATAAAGACAGATTGTCATGGTTGAAACGTAGAGAGTTTTAACAGGTGTTAAAGGATTGAATAGGAAGAGAGAATAAAAGGAATTGAGACAATGTTTCTTTCCATAGTATAGGCAGCAGACAAAAGAGAAGACATATAATAGAATAAGGGAGAGAAAGAGAAAGATGCTTGAAACAACGTGTGTAATTTAATTTTAGTGCAGAAAATAGTGGCGAGTGGACATAGACTAATGGAAAGAGATACCAGGCAGATTTTTGTTGTATCAGTTGCTTATGAGCTGAAGACAAAATGGAAATCTTAAGTATTTGCACACTGTAATAATTTGGTTTTTCCATGTTGTGGGTTAATTATGTAGGCAGAAAAAAATATTTTATAACAGAAATACCCATCTATTTAGTGGTATTCTATTTCCACTGTGCTTTGTGCATTCTATAATGTATTTATGTTCCATTACTGAATTTAAAATCTACACAGTTCTTGCCTACAAACGGATGCTCATTTTCTTGTCACAAGGAGAACAAAATAACATATTTAGGATCCCTACTTTAATCAGCATTTCTGTTCCCACAACTTTCCAGCACTGTGGGCCTCTTTCCTAGGGCTGGGACCATAATCTTTTTTCTCATAACCTGTTTTCTTGTAGTAGGTTGGTAAAATATATGGTCAAAACAGTTATCTTGACTGTATTTTTGCCTGTTGAATTTTATACTGTTTTACAAGAATAATTTTACAGTTCATCAAGATTCTTTGAAATTTTGTTTCTGTCCTGGTGTTGGTAACACTATCCACTTTGCAGCATGTACCAATTTAGTCTGCTTATTCAAATACTTGAATAAATACTTGAATAGATACCTGAAGTCATCAGTAAAAACTGGAATGAATTGTGTGTATGAGTCTAGATACATGACCAGTTAGGATTTAAAAAATAAGCCTTTGATAGCTTGAACTTTCTATCTCCTTAAATGTAATGATCTTCACAATAACACTAGGTTGAATGAAAAGGTTAAGTCGGCCTTTCAAGCCCACCCTGGATAACTGAACGAGTTGGTGGGGCCCCTGGATGCTGTGCGTCAGTGACGGTCATTGTTCTGTCTTGGGTGCATCAGAGAGCCGTAGAGCTGAGAGGAGGCAGATCGTCACTCTGTCCTTCCGGATTTAGCTAGTTCTTTTTTCAGGATATCCTATAGACCTTTCATGAAATAATCATTTTACTTGTAGGCAATGAAATCTCCAGAGCTAAAAGATCGCCTGGAAGAGTCAGAGAAGCTAATCCAGGAAATGACTGTGACCTGGGAGGAGAAATTAAGGAAAACGGAGGAAATTGCACAGGTGCGTGCTTCCTGATTTGAGAGAGGAACCTCGTGGCAGTTTGTGCAGTGCAACTCATACGGTGTTTCTGGTGTCTTTTGATTTTTAGCTTTGAAGATGGCAAATCTAGCACTGTTGATAAGGATCTAGATCCAGGAGTCTATATGTTACAAAATGAAGTTGAAGGATAAATAAGACATAACAATAATTGTTTGTTATCTAAGAAATGATTTTTTAGGGTCTCACATTTTTTTAAATGAAATAACTACTTTGTAGCCTCTGGCTCTGAACACCCAGTTCTGTTAAATGTTTTGCAGATGTAAGGAACTTTCCCAAACTGTGAAATTAACAGACGTAGATATTAGGCCATGTAAATGAAATACCTAAACCTGAGGTGACTCATTTTGGCGACCTTTAGTATAGGTAGAGTTGTGAAGTCTTGGAGTGGAATGTTAGCATTTGGAGAAAAACCTAAGCTTTGTACAAGAAAGATTTATTCTGGCTTTCCTGTTAGATGGTTGTTCAGCGTGTCTTAGAAATACGGTAATGTGGAGCTGAGCACAGTCTCTTCGTGGCTGGACAACTCTCATAGTAGCTATTGAATCAAAATATCGTATTCTTTCATTTCTGCTCATTGGCTGTCATTTGGTCTTCCAAAGCTAAGGAAATAAGTGTTCCACTTGTATGCAGTAAGTAATAATAACAAAAGAGTCAGTATTTGTTGGCTGCACTTATGTGTTGGGCCTCTGCTAAGGACTTTTAAATACAGCAGTGTATTTAATCCTCCCAACAGTCCAGTAAGATAGGGACTGTTGTAACCCAGGTACGTAAAGTTACCTCTGCTTCTTCCCCTCCTCTTCTGAAGTTCAAACTCTCTGGTGTTTTCAGGGGTTCCTGTGTTAGGGAATGTATAGAATTTGCTACTTCATTTTGTTGCCCAGTAGATTCCATGTTTAAGTGTGCTATCCAGAATCAATTTATACATCAGATGTTGTAGGACAGTACTGCTATTATGTAGCATAAAGTGGATGTTATATTTATACTAGTGCAGATAAGGATTTAAATCCATTTCAAACATTTTTATTATAGTCATTTTCAAAATAGATAAAAAGAAGAGTACAATAAATCCACATATACCCATCACATGGTTTCACTAAAGATCAATATATGACCAATCTTGTTTCATCTGGATCCCTGCCCTGAGTTAAAAGCATATACTTCAAATTACAAATAAGAGAATACACCAGTATATAAACTTCATTTCTCATTACCTATGTCACTTCTTGTGCTCCTTAAGTTAGAAGTCATTCTAATAATTGTTTGAAACTAGCTTGTGTGAACCTTTTTGAGTTCCCTGAAAGTAAAACATTGACTTTGAAGTGCCGTTGTACTTGGGTTGCTTTGCTGGTACAAAGCCAACTAGGTCTAAGCGAGATTGCAGTGCTAGTGAATCTGATCTTTAGCATCTTTCCTTACCTAATTCTTCTCCCCCTTTCTCATTTGTCCCTTTAGAAGACTGTGCACGATTTTATCCAGCACTTCATTCAAGACCTTATCTTTCCAAGCCCCCAGGCTTCATGCTGTTGAGCTTTCCTGTCCACTCTTGGGAATAGACCTGGTCTATTGGTCATTGACCTCTCTCCAAAACAGACTAGAAATTCCCAAACTGTATTTCTGGCAGTATAGCCACAAATTGTAAATAAGGCTGCTGGGAAAATATGGCCCATGGTCAGATAACTTTGGGAATATCTGGGCAAACTAAGTTAAATGGATTTCTGTTTTGAAACTTTTTGCATCACTTTTGGGGGTCTCCCTAAGTCCTCCGTGTTCTGGCATCTTCCCCTGTGCCAGGCACCCATAGATCATCCCTGCCATTGAATTCTTGTAGAAACCAATCTGTACCCTTTGACCCCTAAATCATGCAATACTTTGCTTTTGTTCATATTTTCACGTATACTTTTATTACCTAAGAGTTCATAAGGTTCTCAAGAAAAAAGGCCATATCTTTCTGTTTTTAAAGTGTGTACTCAATAATTTTTTTGAGTCAACACACAGAACTCAAGTTGAGTAATTTCTGAGCCCAGTGCCATATTTCTGATAAGGGTTGACAAATATGTCATTGGGCAAAACCTGGTCTGGCACTTTTTTTTTTTTTTTGTATCATTAATGTGCAATTATATGAACAACATTATGGTTACTAGACTCCCCCTATTATCTGTTCTGGCACTTTTAAATCTAAGTGTTTCCATAGTGAGAGTTAATACAGTTATAATAAGAGTATAAGTAGAAGAAATTATTTTATTACCAAAGCAGTATTTACTTCTAGAAAATATAGAGAGATTACTGGGAAGAAAATGTAGATTAACTGTGATTCAACCATCCATAGAAAACTATTGTTAATACCTTTGCATTTTTTCTTTGAGGTTTTTCCAATGCACAGATTGGTACACTAATTTATACCCTACGTTTCTCATTTAGTATTGGTTCGTGATCTAGTTCACAAAGCAAAGATTTTTTATAGAGAAATGTTTCTTCTCATTGTTAGTTCTTTAAGTACCTACCAAAATCCCTACATAAAAGAATTTCCTCAGAAAGAACTAGGTGAGATCTATTAGAATTGCCTTCCTCATTTTAGGAACATGGCTCTTTATCAAGGATAATTATTTTTTAGAACTGAGTGCTGAAAACTCTATTGTCTACTGCTAACCTATTCAAATCTTCTGAGAGAACTCAATAGTGTTTTGTTAGAGGAGAGATTTAATCCAAAGACCCAGAATCAATATATCCCCTTCCTACTGTTGTAATAGTATTCTTCTACATGAGATGTATTGATTGGTTGCAGTGACTGTATAAATTAGGATGGTATCCCTAGAAATAGCAAAATTCTGAGGCTGTCACTTATCCTGCAGTCTTACTGTGGAGCCCCAGTTAAATGGTTTAGCTTATCCTGTCTTTCCCCAGGTCAGAGCGCCTTGGCTGTGACTCACTACTATTTGCTGTTTATATATAGTCAAGGACATCCTCCTCTGCCCCAATTCATATACCTTAATCATAGAGCAGTGGTTGTGGAATTTGTATGTATCCCCATGTGCATGTATTTGTGTATTGTGTGGATTCAGAGACAGGCAGGCTTGAATGCATATGCAAGTTTTATTTTGATAAAATTCACAAGAGCATTAGTTTGAGGGCTTACTATGTGCTATGTGCTGTGCAAGGGGCTGGGAATACTCAGTGCATAGATAGGATCCATGGTCAAGTAAACAGTTACCAAGTATGAGAAGAGGTATACCCCAGACAGAAGAAACAGGTGTGACATCTTTTCGGCTTAGGAGAGCATTCTTGACACTTTCAGGGACCTGAAAGATGTTACATATAACTGCAGTTTGGGCTCTGAGAGTGGGAGTGGCAGATGTGATGATGGAGAGTAAATGGGCCAGTTGGACGGGCATTGTGGACTTTGCTGAGGGAGTTTGGCCTTTGTGCTGTCTCGGGGGAGGGCCCTGAGGGTGTCAAGCAGGAGAGTGTATTCGACTTTTTAGAACAATCACAGTTGAATAAAAGGCATTTGTTCATATGTCCAGAGTTAAGTGAAAAAGATGAATTCAAGATGTGAGATATTTTCAAGAATGAAAATTAAGAACTCAGTAGTTATGCTTGGTTGCTATTTTTAATGGCTTTATTTTTCAAAATATTTAATTAACAAAGTAAAACCACATTATATAGTTTGGAAAGAGAAAAAAATGTGGTAATCTATAATACCGTGTCCTGAGATGACAAACCTGAGTTATAAAGTTATTTAATAATTATAAGACCTTTTATATCTTGCTGTGTCAATAGCTCTGGAAATAATACTTCTCTGATATATTTGCAGGAACGACAGAAGCAGCTTGAGAGTCTGGGGATATCACTTCAATCTTCTGGAATTAAAGTTGGGGATGATAAATGTTTCCTTGTTAATCTGAATGCTGATCCTGCTCTGAATGAACTTCTGGTTTACTATTTAAAGGTGAAGTCATAGGCTTTGCTACTATTTCCTGCCACAAAATAGAACAGTATTTCACAGTATTTTTCAAAACTTGGAAAGCCATGCTTATTCAAAATAATGAATTGGAAAATTGTTTTTATTTGAGAAAGCTGGAAGGTAGAAAACCCTTGGGTTTCTGGGATCAGTTTCCCTTTATAATGTTTAAGTGATGTAGGTCAACCTAGTAATATGAAAGTGATATTTTGTTATTATTTCCAACAAAAAGTAACTTAGCTACTGTTACATAATGTGATTAGTACTACAGAGTTAAGCTAAGTTTAAAGCATAAAGAATGGCTCTTTAACTGATTCATTAGTAGGCTAAAGCTTTTGTGGTTTATATTGTGAGTAAGTTTACAAGAGTAAATGTTTAAAGAAAGTTAAGTGCTTAGGACCACTTGATATGAAATTTGGGTTTCCGGTAACTCTTAGGAAAATTAAGAAATTTGAATTACCAGCTTACAAAAAATGAGAGAGTATGTCACTTAGAGACTTAGGGAGTCAGAGTATGGAATAGAAAAAATAAGCAAGTACTATATTCAATGAATATTGATATTCATTGAAATCTGTAAATCGTGGGACATATCAAGAAGACCAGAGACAGCTTTAGAATGAGCATGAATCTGGAGACACACATAAATTGTGAGGAACTCACCAAAATTGCCTTTTTAAAGCTTAGATCATAAATGAATAATATAATGGGCCATATGTCTCTAATGTATGGTTAATATTAGGAGGAGATATTTTTTCTCCCTCATAATAGAGGAGCTTTACCTGTGGGTTTAACTAGGTGACTGGGAAAGTAAAGATAATGAGCTGCTAAAGTTGAAAACCACTTTAAAGGTAGAGAATTGCATGGTTTCATTTCTAAAGAGACTAAGAATTCACTGCGCATTGGCTGATTCACTGGTTCTTGTCAAGGGTGTCTTGGGGTAATTGCTTTGTGTTTTGATACGGTGCCTTGCCAGTAAGTGTCGTGCACCGCGCTGCACTGTGATCCCTACAGTTGTGCATGTGCTCCCAGGTACTCTGGCGGGTGGGAGGGGAGGACCTGGGTTTCTGGTCTGGTTCCACTGCTTAACAGTATTTGATCTCAAGTCTTTTGCTCCTTCCAGTCTACAGAGACTTCTCTCCTGTAAATGGAAGTTTTCTTTGGCTGACTGCCTCACCAGGTTCCTGTGAAAATTAAATGAGATTTAATATATAGAAGCATTTTATAAACAGCATTATACAAATGTAAAATATTCCATATACCATTTTCTCATTTGATACTCAGTGTGGTACCTCATATTTGTTATCCTTAATTGAAAAATGTATTACCACATCACTTACTGTGCTTCTAAACAATGTTGGCAGCGTTTTGTGTTAGGATTTCAGCTGCACATATTCATGTGCTTTAAGAGAGATGCAGTGTTAGAATAGGACTTAAATACTCTGTCCTTTCTGTTTTTTCAGAACTATGAATTATTTTCCTTTCCAATGTGATGAAGTTCAAATTCAAATACACAAACACATACACCCAACAAGAAGAAAACTTGATTCATATCAGTTGCTTGACTAAAAAGATTAAACAAAGAAACTGTTTAAAGACTTTTGGAGAGTGGTCAGAATGTTTCTGGTCAGCTGTGTGGAGGTGTTGGGACTTCGTTCAGACTGTGTGGTCAGCCTGGTTTGGCAGAGCTCAAGGCAGTGATTTCTTTGCTGCCCAGGCTAACCCCACGACAGAAGCATACTCATGACCAAGCACATTCAAAAGGATGGTCTCAGGCCAAGGATAGTTTTTGTGCCAGTAAAGTGAGACCATGATGTGGGATGGAGGAATTTGGAGGCTGAGCGTTTTTTATTTCTTTGCCTTCAAATTCTGAAGTCAATTTAGATGCTGGGCAGATGACTTCACATCTCTGGATGACTTTCAGCGCCCCATCTGTAAAATGAGGGCAGTGGATTAAGTTATCTCTGAAGCTTTTTCTAGTTCCAAGCTGTATGGTTCTTTTCCAGAAAGAGAATCCTCCATTTATTTGTTCTGTCTGGAACTGGCAGAGACAAGGTATGGTGGCCAACCCACAGATAGGACATAACTCATAAGGTAATTTTGCATCTAATTTGCATATATAGGCAGTCTTTGGTTTGCACGCTTCCAATGTAGAAAATTCCAGGTACCATGATGTATAAATACTGAATCAGGGAATACTGACACCTTCACCTGTTGAAAGTAAACTGCCTGCGGTGGTATTTGCCGCTCTCTGCAGACACTGATTGAGGCGATCAGAATGCAGGGCAGCACCTTTCAGTGTGCACCCAGCTGTGGGCCAGGCTGTAGGGGACCCAGGTGAGGAAGAGACGGCTGTGGCTGGTTAGGGTTCTGGGGTGGCAGCTGTTTGGTTCATCTGGTGGAGTCGCTAAATTTGTAAAAGACAGAAAGATACTTGGCTTCCTATTGTCTCCATTCCAGGAAAGCTGTCTTCACAGTTTTTGTCCTGGGAAGCCAGGGTGACATTTTTATTAAAGAATTTTGATTATTTAGATAAGTAAAGAGTAATGAATAGCTTTCTGCTTATTGCACTGATACTCACTTTTTCCTTCAGAAATTATCCGAATATGGATGAGGCTGGGGGACCACACGGGCTGAGCTAATGTGCTACTGCTCCTTACAGGACAGGCAAAGCCACCCTGTGGCATCTGGCACTGGTGGGATGTCCTTCTCTCCATCTCCCTCCACCGTCACCCCCCGCACCCCAACCCAACTTCCTCCTCCTCCCTCTCTCTCTCTCTCTGTCTCTCTTTCAAAGGGAGATTCTTAAAAGAGCCACATAGTTGATTCATAAAGAAAACAAGGTATAGTAAATTCATAGAATAATTAATCATCTCCAGTGAAATTAAGTTTAAATGGATACAGAAAGGTTAAAAAGCTACTCCTATCTTTTGAGTATTTCTGAGATTTAAAAACAGAGTGTTTTATAATTGTTGAAGTTTGCCCTAAAACTAGTGTAAAGTCACACCCATATATCACAGGGAGAATGAAAGGCTATCCCTGATTATCTTATTTTGATTATCTTGTACTTACATAGAATTTAGTTACTCGTTAAACTTATATACTGACCCATGCATGATATGTTTATTTTTTCTTCCTCATCGGTATTTTTATTGCAGTGCTTGGAGCACAGTAGAAAGAACCGAATCAAAAAGCTCGTTGTCCAGTTTGTTTAAACATCCGCCATTGAGGCTTTGGCAGAGCTGAGCTTTGGGAGCTTGGTATTTGTGAGCCCAGTGAATCGTCTCCCAAGTCAGACTAAGTTATAACCTCAGATGAGAGATTTAAGCTGTCATTTCTAACGTAAGCTCTAAAATGGGGACCTTGTCTGTCTTTTGTCTCTGAGTGACTCAGTGCCCAGCTCAGACTAGGTGCTCAATATAATATTTGTTGAAAAAAAACTGAAATTGTCTTTCTAGGATCTGGATTAGACCTTGGCATGTTTGAGTTAATATCTTGTCCCTGAAGAGTTTCAGTTTAGTCTATCAACAGATATTTGACATCTACCACGCAGCATGTACTGTGCTTGTTGGAGAAGATGCAGGCGCATCCTGTATATGCTGCTGTCAGACAAGGGAGGAAGCCAGCATCCCTGCAGTAGGTGGCAAACGGCGGTACTGACTCTGAGGGTCACCTGGATTCAGAGAAGGGAGAAGTCACTGTGGGCTAATGGTGAAAGCTTCAAGTTAGATGAAGTTAGAAGAAGGGGTTAAAGCTGCTTTGCCTTCAGATGAAGGGAAGGTCGCGGTTCAGGCAAAGAGCAGGGGCAGGGCGAGGCCGAGAACTCCGTGTGTGAGGCCTGGGAGTGAGCGGGTAGGAGGTGTGCTGCACTGAGCCTGCAGGGCTGGGGCATGGCGCAGGGTGCAAGCTTCTCTCCACCTCCATCCCGAGGACAAAGGATCCCACAGCGCAGCTGGGACCCCCGCTGGAATTTCTGGTGGAAGGAGGAAGGGATTATGCATAGAACTGGCCTAAGGTGTACTTTGGGGATTTCATCTTGTTTTTTCAGGCCATCTTGGGCCCTTTTTCTCTTTGGCCTTATTTTCCCTGTTGGAACTTCTGTCTGCTTTGCGGTTGGTGGTGTAAGGCAGGGGTGGAAGAACCCAGGTGGGGAATGGTGACAGGCATGGAGCAGATGCTGCAGGCCTGCCGCTCAGCATCTCAGCAGCAGCACCTGTGGTCTCCACCTGGTCCAGCCTGGTCCCCAGGTTAGGAAAGTGGGTAGCTCAGCCAGTAGCAGATGGTGGACATTTGCCTGGAACATGCTCTGTGTATTATACCCTCCCTGGGGATTGAACAGGACACCCTGCTGTAGCTCCGGATCCCAGCTCTTTGTTTCCTTGGAAGCACCATTGCTGTACAGTTGAGATGAGAAACTCTCGGAAAAGGCGAAATGAAAGTGCTAGAGGGAAGGAGGCCTTTTTTCGAGATTGAGGTCCCTGAAGAGATGGGAAGAATTGGAACCCGGAATTTAATTAGAAGGGCCACCAGCCAAGGAGAGAAGAGGATCATCTTCCTTTGAGTCTGAAGAGAGCGCTAAGGGGAATGGCTGTTCATTTATTTTTCTTTTAAATCGATTTAATGTCTAAATGTGCCAGCCCTGTGTTCCATGCTTCGGTGACAGTAGGGGGCAGGGCAGGCTGTGCTCTGCTCATGGAGTTCCATGCTAGCTGTGGAGATGGACAGAAACCCCTGGACAGTCGGTTTTGTGTAAGGAGTTCAAGTACAAGAGTGATGGGCTGGCTGTTTCTGATGGTCAGTTCAGGATGTGACAGTTAACAGGGGAGGATGTGCCCTTAACAGGTGAGATAGAAATGGTAAGAAACTACCGATATGAAGATTCAGGGAAGAACATTTCAGGAAGAGAAAACAGCCAGTGTGCTCAAAGAATAGATGAAAGCTGAGGTGGCTGGCCCCCACTGCAGGGGCTGGGGAGAGGCAGGAGCTGGGACAGGAGAGGGCGTGGATGATGTGGGACCAGGAGACACAGAAGTGGATTCATAGAGGGAGGCTCTAGTATACACCCAAGCAAGAGACTAGGATGTGATGGTAGAGGTGAGGGAGGCAGGCTGATTCTTGGTATGTTTTGGCGGGAGAATCTTTAAGGATTTTCTGATTGACTTGGGACCAGGGGTAGGCTGGTAAGAGGAAAGAAAGGACTAGACAGCATCTAAGCTTTTCAGTCAACTGGCTGGGGGGTGGTAGTGAGTTTATTCCTGGGGGAAGGAATAGACTCATGAGGTGGGGCGGGAGTGGTGTGGGCATAAATTCTGCTTTGGCCCTTTCACTTTCAAATGCCTTGATAGATGTCTAAGTTATGCCAAGTAGACAAGAAATAGGGTGATTGAGACTAGGACAGTGTAGTGGAGATGGGAAAAATAAATTAAAGTCTGTAGTTCCTGGTTGGTGATTTAATTTTTGTATAGACAGCCTTTAAAGCCCACAGGATAGGATAAGATCATCCTGGTCAGGGCTCAGCGACCTACTTCCACAGATCAAACATAGCTCCCTGCCTGTTTTTATGTGGCCCTGTTTCTAAGAATCGTTTTTACATTTTTTCAAATGATTGGGGAAAAAATGAAAAGGACCGTATTGGACACATGAAAATTATGGAGTTCAGCTTTCATTGTTCTTAAATAAAGTTTTATTGGGAAGTAGCCACACTTGCTCATTTGTGTCTTATCTGGTGGGTCTCCCACCACAAGGGCTAAGTGGAGTGGGTGCGTGTGACTCGCAAAGCCTGAAGTGTTTCCTGTCAGACCCCTGGTGTAGCTGTGTAGGAGGAGGCGGCTTGAAGACATATCCAGGTCATAGCCCATTAACGCATGTACAGGCAGTCTCAGATGCTGAAGCACATGAGAAGCTCAATTTTTATGTCTGTTTTCACAGTTACCCACCAGAAAGTGAGGCTGGAAATCGGGGCTGTGGTGAGAAGAACACATCTACCATATTGTTAATGAGAATTAGAGAGACCATGTGATTCATAAAATAATTTGAGTCTTTTCAAATTCCTTATATTTGGATAGTTTTTCTAATCTTTGGAGTTGACTCATCTTGATTGAGACCAGGTATAAGTGATGTGCAACTTATCTAACTGTACTTTTCAGGCCAGTATGTTTCGTACATCATTGACACATGGCTCATGCTCAGAGATCGTGTAACATATTTGAAATCGACATTGCAATGGAAAACATGAATAAAGACATTCATATAAAACTATAGCTTCAAGCTTAAAAGAGTTAACTCAACTCAGTGTGTTATTCCTTAATACCAATATAACTTGTAGAATGAATTTCAGAGAAAGCTAGAATTCCCTCTATCATCCCATTTGCTTTAAACATCTTTCAGCTAAGGTAGTGGGTGAATATCAGAGCACTCAGGGTAGATGATTTCAGTTTGTGTACCTATAAGAATACAATATTAATCAGTGAATTTGGTTCTTTTGTAGGAATATACATTGATAGGTTCAGCAGATTCCCAAGATATCCAACTCTGTGGAATGGGAATTCTTCCTGAACATTGTATTATAGACATCACATCAGAAGGCCAGGTCATGCTGACTCCTCAGAAGAACACCAGGTAATGTACTTTAGTTGGTGTTAATATCACAGCTTTTAAGAGGAAGAATACAGTAGCTGTGGAGGGTATACAGGACATTTAGTCTTTGTTTTATTTTACGTCCACTTAATGAAGGTGTCCAGTTAGTTAACAAGTCCTTTATATTTGCTGTTTCTTAAATAAGATATTCCTTATTATATGGTATACTTAATATCTCTTGAACCCATCCTTTCTTTCTGTCCCCACCATCGTGGCCTTATTTCAATAAGGTCCTTACCAAGTCTTGATTGGAAGCCCTGCCAGCACCCTAATCCTTTTCCTGGTCCACTCCCCAGACAGGCAGATGGCTTTCTACTATTTTTCATACAAAATCCTTACACCCGTCCCTCCTGTGTGTCTCCCATTCTTCTGCATCTGCCATTTCTTTGTCCAGATAATTTTTGTCTGACCTTCAAGGTAAGCTCTGTCATTGTCTACTTTGGAGAATTCCCTATTTGGTTTAAGTTAAGGGCCCCTAGTATATAGTACCAGTGCACTTAGCCTCCCGTTACATTGATGCTTCATTTTGTGTTCTTGTGGGCTGCTAGCCTTTATTACCCTGTTGTGCTGTGAGTTCCTTGAGGGCAAGGATCTTTCTTTTTTGGTTCTCTATCCTTAGCACACAATGTAAGACTAGTATATAAGTCCTCAGTAAATAATGAGTGAATGAAGAGGCGTGACATAAACACTTAATGTCATTTTGTTTCCTTAAGCTCTAAAACTGTTAATGCTCTGCTCTGTAATTGTCTGTAACAGTTATAGGTGATGGTTTATTTACTTAAATTGATCTTCCTTTCTGAATGTTGATCCATTTCATTCTATGATATCAAAAAATTGTCACCATCCTCATTAATTTCATCCATAAAGCCCTTAAATTTCAGGAAGTTGTCAAGCTCATTGTGAAGGATGCAAATGAGAGAGAAAAAGCAGAGCAGAAACTGCGTGGCACTCCCACCCCCGGCGTGCCGTTCTGCTGTTGCGTAATCTCACAGAACACCAACCTCAGGCAGGGTCCTATGAGGCTGCGATACAATAAGACAAAGCAGGCCACAAAATACTTCTGTTCCAGCACAGACAAAAACTTAGGTCACTGTGCCATACACACAGTACCAAACACTTCTCTTGGCCAGTGTGACAGCTGCTTCACCAATTACAGCTTTCTTGTTCTAGTCTGCCCTCTACAGATACGTCTTTTGAACTACCCAGTCATAGAATTACATCTGCTTTCTGACAGCATCTCGTGTATACAGAGCCCTCACTTCTTCCTTGGACCCTCCGAGTGGTCCAGCTAAAGTCCAAATGCGGTAGCAGCCCCTGCCCAACGCCCACGCCGCCTCTAGTCTGTCTTCTCCCTCTGCATGAGCAGTAAACCCATTTGGTCAACTGCAGGAATGTTCCTAGTGGTCTTTGGTTGGAGGACCTTGACACAAGTTCCCTAAAACTCTTCATTTTCATTTGAAAGCTTAAGTTTACAGTTGGCAGCAAGTACTGTCAGTTGCTGTCCTTGAAGCGACAGGCTGGCTCTGTTTGTTTTCGAGAAAATGTCTGCCCAAACCACTTTGTGTCAGTCTCTTGCTCGTATAGTCATCATTCCTGGGTGTGCACTAGTGCTGTGCTCTTTGTGTATTTCCCATTTTGTCTCCTGAATGTGTAAAAAGTTGTGTACTCAGGGTCAAGATTTAATAAAAGGAGTCGTTTTTACCATTTCATCAGGGACATTCTCAAATGGACATTTTTGGATTGTTGAGTACACGGCAGTGAATAATGCAGTGACTACTTGCAGTGTTTGGTGCCCCTGTCTCGATATGTGCTAGGACACATGGAGTCTTACTCATTGCCACTACAAAGGTCAACACAGGGAAAAAGGGCAGGTTGGCATTATTTTAAAAATCACTTTGATCTTGGGAACCCCACACAAACCATACTTGGAGAACTGTTACTATGTGCATGCTTTTATTTACCAGTCATGGCTTAACTGCTGTAGCTTTTAAAAATAAGCCCGTATATGTGCTTGCCTTCAACTGAGCTCCTTTCCATCTTTAAGGAATATGTTTCATAAAGGCTAAAATTTGCTTATTTTAGTAGGTTCCCTCTTACGATAATTATATTTCTTTGAGCCTTGTACTTTGAATAATTGGACTATAGGAATATAAAGACCACTTATCTAAAAACCCACATAGTAAGTGAAATCTAGATAGAGAGTAAGATTTTGTGTGTATGTATATACATAAAAATAAGTAACAATATTAAGCCAAGCAAGAGCTTTAGGAGTTTAATGAAACTAAGATAGAATAGGCTGAAGAGATGAGCAGCTTTACAGAGGAAGTAGAATCCAGACTTGGCTTTGAGAGCTGAGAAAGATTCAGGGGGATGGAGAGAAACTGGAACCTTTCCCAGGTTGGAGGCCTGGGATAAGTCTAGCTTTCAAGGAAGAGTCAGTCATGTTTAGTGGATAGAATACAAACCTTTTTTTTCTCCTGGAGTTGAGAGTTTACTGGAAGAGGAAAAGGAGGAGATAAAGAGGGCTTCCTTTTGTAGGGCCTTTAATGTTAAGTTAAAGAACTTGACCTTTTTTGTACATCTAAGCAAATGAATCATTTGGTGAGAGAGAGGGGTGATAACACTGGTATTCTAGGAGTATCAATCTTATAGTGATATGCATAATTTCCTGCCCTTCCAGATTCTTCCCTTAATATCCTCTGCCCACCATTTCTTCTGCTATACTCCATTGACGAGATAAGCAGTCAAGTGGGCCTTGTCCGACAAATCTTTTATGTGTTAATAGGAAGTGACATTTTCCTATGCTATGGGAAGTTACAGAAGAATTTAATGTAGATCTCATTTCTTACTGCTGATATCCTTAGATATTTCTAGAGTCTAGTTGGTTGATTGGCTCTTACTCAGGTAGATTGGACATGCTCATTTTAGTTTTAAAGTATATTGTTACCATCTTTTTATTATTGGCTATAATGGTTCCCTATTTACTCCTTAATAAGCTATAAAACAAATACAGAACTTTGAAAAATAAGGATAATCTATTATGCTAAGCACTTTAGGTAAATCAGCAAAGTAAATATAGACAATAAAATTCACCAAGGGCAGGTTTTATTTTGAGGACTTGATTATTTTGTTTTTCCTAATAATTAGATCTCTATAGTGTTAGAATATTAAAGGAGGAAACATGATAATCACTGTTTACATGTTTGAACCTCTTCTCCCCACAGAACATTTGTAAATGGCTCTTCTGTGTCCAGTCCTGTCCAGCTGCACCACGGGGACAGGATATTGTGGGGAAACAACCACTTCTTCAGGTAGGATATTGTTCGTGGTTCTTAGAGGGAGATTATTGAAGATGATACCCTGAAAACAGAATAATATATATATATAAAAAAGTAAACTCCATAAAAACTATGCATTGTTTAGTGTACACATGTATTTATTTACTATATATGTTTGTTCACTATATGGTTTGAGCCTAAGGGATATATGAACCATGCACTTAGGAAAAATAAGGAGTTTGCCTACATATTTTTTCTTTTTATTCCCAGTAGAAAATGATTGTAAGAATTCATTACTTTTTTCTGACATGCTTATCTTTTTATTTATTTATTTTTTACTGGAAAAGTAGTGATTTTGGTTTCCATATCCATAAAATAGGGTTTGTATTTCATTGAGGGATGCTGTCAGGTGCAGGTAATGGCAAACTTGACTGTCATGGCTTAAATGGTTTATTTCTTTGACAAAACAAGAAATCCAAAGGCAGGTGGCTGTTGGCACTGGCCAAGCCCTGCAAAGACATGGTGGCAGAGTCTTGTCTCGGCTTCCCTGTATGGCCTAAAGGCGACCGTGCCCCCCTAGGCCTCAGAGCAGCACGCAGGCCCATGTGAAGGAAGTGCTGCTGGAGAGGGGCCCTGGCTCTCCTCCTGCTCAGAGATGCATGCTCCCCAGAGTTCCTGGCCACCTGCTGCGTGTGTCTCATTTCCTAGAATTTGCCTCTTTGCTGCCAAGGGGACTGTGCGAAAAGTGTCTGACCTGGGGCTGCACACATTTTTCCCCATACAAAACTGGTATGTTGACATGGAAAGGCAGGCTGGACACTGTATGAAATCAGAATCCTGACCTGATCTTCTTCCTGTCGCTGGTCACTGTGCTTCATATCAAACTGACTTTTCCTACAGCTAATGGCAAGCTTTTGCTTTTTAGCCAGTTGATATTTTGATTATTGAGAAAAAAGTAAGGAGGTAAAAAGTACATGAAGAAAGGTCATTTTTTTCTTCTCAAATCATGTAAGTTTGTTGATTTAGTAGTACTCAAAGCCTTCATAGTTTGGGTTAAGTTGGTCTTTTCAGCATTATCTCACAACTTCTGCTGTATAAATTTTCAGTGTCCCCATGTTATTTTCTTCAAAATTTCCCCAGAGACCTGTGAGAGTCTCCACGTCTGTGCCTTTCCTCGTGCCATTCCCTCTGTCCTAAGGCCTGCTTTCTCCTTACCCCTTAAGGCTCGGCTCACCCCTTCCACCGTTATTCCGGCCCTCAGCTTTCCTCTGACATCCAGCTTCTAACAGTCACGGGGCCTTGTCACACTTTCTGTTGTGATTATTTGCACATGCGTGTGTGTTTTAATTCTACTACTAGAATGTAAACTTCCTGAGTGCAGTAAATGCCTTGTGCTTACATGGTATTCCCTTGGCATCTAGTATGTAAAGAATGGAATGAGTAGGTTCATATCTTTATTTAAAAAATAATCTTTTTCTTCCCCCAAGACTGAGTTTGCCTAAAAAGAAAAAGAAAGCAGATCGAGAGGATGAGGAACAAGACAGGTCCATAAAGAACGATACCAGTTCTGAGCAGCTGGATGTAGATGGAGACTCGTCCAGTGAAGTGTCCAGTGAAATCAACTTCAACTACGAATATGCACAGATGGAGGTTACTATGAAGGCTCTGGGCAATAATGGTGAGCAGATCTCCTGAGAGTTTTAGGATCTTTGCAAATTGGTGGAGAGCTTCAAGAATTTGTAACTGAGACCTTTTAAGTGTTAACAAACAAGAAGACCTTTATGTTGTTCTCTGTACTCTATTCTTTTGTATCTAGGCTTTAGTTTATTATATTTATAAAAACTTTCATTCATTCTGCCTTGATAACAAAGCACTGCAAACTTTGTTCTTGTCGATAGACTTTCCTAGGTTTGATCTTGACTGCCAGTGGCTAATTATTATAGTGGTTTTCTGGAGTATTAATCATGTCTTAGGTGATGTGTTGAACATATAATAGACCTGCTTTTTCTGTTTTCTATATGGAAGATAGTTTGGCATCCTGTCCAACAGAAGATAAATAATGGGGAGTAAGGAAAGCTAAGTTTATTCCAAACTCTAAGAATTTAATTTTGTTAGTGAGGATGACAAGCAACATAACAATATAGCACATTTGAAGTTTATTGTGTGTACCTTTTGTTCATTATATAACTTTCAAAAAAAACTTTAGATCCAATGCAGTCCATATTGAACAGCCTTGAACAACAGCATGAAGAAGAAAAACGATCTGCATTAGAGCGCCAGAGGCTTATGTATGAACATGAATTGGAGCAACTCCGAAGAAGACTGTCTCCGGAGAAACAGAACTGTCGCAGCGCAGACAGGTTTTCTTTCCACTCGCCCAGTGCTCAGCAGCGGTTGCGGCAGTGGGCCGAAGAGAGGTAGGTGGTGGGCGGGCCTTCGTGACGTGCGCAGCGTGTGCTCAGCACCTTTCACTCACCTGCGTGAGATAACCGCGTGGAAGAATCTAGACATTACTTTGCAAAGAATTATGTTAAAAGAGAGTATTACAGATAAGAACTCTTTGGCATTATCTTTTTTTTTTCCTTACATTTTTGAAAAAATGAGAATTGTCGATTTATATTGATTTATTTAAAGCTGCCTAGGTTAGGAGCTGCCCTATTTTCAGTTTGTATGGTTTTGGATTTGAATAAACAAGTGTTTGTACTTAGGAGTTATACTTTATCGTTGTATTATACTTTAGGTTCTGAAGCTTGGGTAGATGCTTTTTAGAAAAAAAGGAAAAAAAAAAGAAAGGTGCTTATTGAGACTGATGAGCCCAGGTAGGTGAAGCATGGTGCTAATGAAATTCAGACTGCAAGTTTGATCTCTATATGGGCTAATTATAATTGCACTAAAATGTCTAATCCATGGTTATGGACTGTACTTAACTAACCTCTTGCTATTCTTCAAAGTTTGGTCTGCAGACAGGAGCATCTCTGTCTGCTAGAGATGGATAGAAATGTAGCATTTCAGGTCCCCTCCTTCCCCCCAAGACCTGTTGAGTCAATATCTTCAGTTTATCGCAATCCCCAGAGTCAGGTCTGTGAAGTGCTGCCCTGACCTGCAGCCAGGGTGTTAGAGGCACATGCGCCAATACTTACAACGTAGCCCAGATACAAGTGTATGCATGGGTCTGCATCAGTGATGTGTTCCCTGTGTGCAAAAGGCAGTTGTAAAGCCTGGTCTGCAGTCTGACACTCACATATCATGTACTGTATAATATTCTGATGTGCTGTTTGGTGGGCATACCCACCCCACCCCACCTCACTCCTGCCTACCTTTTTTTTTTTTTAAAGAGAAGCAACGCTGAATAACAGTCTGATGAGGCTGAGGGAACAAATTGTCAAAGCCAACCTGTTGGTGAGAGAGGCTAGTTACATTGCAGAAGAACTGGACAAAAGAACAGAATATAAAGTGACCCTGCAGATTCCAGCTTCCAGCCTCGATGCCAACAGGAAGGTGAGGTTCCCTTAGGGGTAAAAGTCAAAGCTGCTGTTGGGTGAACTGCTTTATACTTGACAGTGTTCCCTAAACACTGGAGGGTTTGCCCTCAGGCCCATCTGTACCCTCCCCAACCTAGCTCCTTCCATATTTGTCCTCTTCCTTGAGTGGAATATCCATTTGATTCTCTGCCTTTGTGCACATATGTCCTTTATCCACTAGAAATGGCCTCTCCATCCCGCAAGTCCCAGCCCCACCAATTTATTTCACTCAGCTCCCTGTCTTCAAATCTGTTTAAATTGTTTCTGAGAAGTCTCCCTGATGAATCTTCCTGAAGTGTCTTTTCTTTCATTCTGTCACTGCCCTGCAACCCTGCCTTTCCCAGGTTAGTGTTCGTTTTCCTTATACCATGTGGCTCCACTTGCTAACAGGTTGCTCTGCAAAGCTGTCCACCAGTTGTTTCCTGTGTGTATTCAAGATCACGAATCTCTTTTTTTGTATAATGTAATAAGCTTAATGAGGTGTTGGGAAAGTCCTGTCAAAGTCTTCTATCCTTGCCATTCCGTTGTTTTTTCTGTCTTACTTAGGTTCTTTTCCAGCTCCTGATGGTCATACATAATTTTTGATGTATTAGGTAGAATTTTGTATTCAGATAAATGTTTTGAGGATCCATGTCCTTTTTTTCCCTCCTACAGTATTCAGCAAGCAAAGCTTTAATAAATCCTTATTGGGTCTTCTACTCTCAGCTTATAGCAAAGACCACATCTTTCTTTCTGTGATGGTTTTACAGCATCAAAGTCAATGTTTTGCATAGAGTAGATATTTGGCAAATATGCTTAAAGTTTTTAGTAATAAAGATACTGTGAACATCATCTAATCATTACTTCATGGGCAGTTGTCTCTCAGTATACATTCTGTGTGTAGTTTGAAAGATTTTACCTACATACACCTTTATTTTGCTTGTTGGTATTTATAGGGCAAACCATGGGTTCAGTGGGATTCATAGACAGAAAGCAGAGGAAAACCAATCATGGGCAGAAGGTACAGGCTTCTCCTAGAAGACTGAAGAGAGTAAGGGCTTTTTCCATTCTGTGGTGTTTGAGTTGGCAAAATAGAAATATGACACTTTGTCCCCATTAGCATGACTGTAGTAGCCCTTCCCTCTGGTAGTGGCTTGGGCTGTGTTGGAAGAAGTAGCGCTGCCTCGGGGCAGCCAGGTCAGCAGCTTGAAGTGACCTGATGACCATGCGCATCTCCCTTCTCCCAGACACCTGATGGTGGTGCATCCACGGGGCTGCTGCTGTTGCCGGTAGAAGCGGCTCGCATTGCTGGAGTTGAAGCAGCCGTTCTGCACAGATGGCTGCTAACCAGTCCACCCTGCTGTTACTGACTTAGTAGTTTCGTGTGTTCAGATTTCAGCCAGAGAGAGGAGCTGGACAAAGTATTGCCTAAGGATGTAGTCTCCTTAGCTCAGGCTGGGCCCTGTACTCTTTTATCCAACAAATCCTTAAATTTTTTTTCTTTTGATACTTGAAAATTCTTATCTCACTTAATAATCATGCTGTGATTGCTGTTCGTCCTGGTCCTCATCCAGGCCTTGTACTCCCCTCTCTCTGGTAATTTTGGTAAGGGACAAGAATTTTTTTTTCCTTTTTTTCCAATTCTTGCTGTTTTGCAGGGGGGCAAAGTTAAGCTGCTGCAGCTATCGCTCATTGTCACCTAGTCCCCATTCTAGCATCCTACCTGCGAGAAGGCTTCGCCCACAGATCACTGATGAGATTTTTCCTGTTTATTCCCTAGCTGGCTGAAGACACTGTAGAAGGGCCTTTACAGTATGTGAGAGAATGGTAGTTTTGACCTTTAGAATGATAAAATCTTTGTTTCATTATGTAAATTGTTTCTTTGAAAATGATTATAGGCAAGATAATAAGGCAACATTAAACTATTTCACAACCGTGTTAAGTTCAAGTGGCTGTATCAGAATAGTTGATAAACTTATCCAGTAAATGTAAATTGATGAGATACCAATATATACGTTTTTCTGGGGGAGATGTACTGGAGAGACATTTTTATTTTTTACTTTGTGGTTTTAAAAGTTTAAAAATTTTTCCTGCATTAAAAGCGTACTGCTTTTATGCACTGGAAAACTTCAGTCAGTACTTTTTCTCTTTTTAGGTGAATCTCACAACATAAACTTAACCATTTTAATGTGAACAATTCAGGGACATTTAATACATTCACAGTGTTGCATAACAGCCATCTCTGATTCTGTACTGCTTCAATTTTAAATTCAAACTGTGCTCATTTGGAAATTGGTATTTGTTGCCTCCAAACGGGTAATCGGGATGCTTCTCACATTTTTCTCTTTTAAACATTTTGTTCTATACCACATTAAGATATTACCCATTTAAAAACATTTAGTTCAAACTTTTGAAAGGTAAAAGATAGTTTCTTAAGTGTCCATTCCAGTAAACTTTCCCTTGTCATTTAATGCTTATGACTCTTTCTACCCCCTTACGTTCTCTGGTCATATCATGGCCCTAAGAAAACGCTTTTGACTTTCCATTAAATATGATCTAGTCTTGTGGGTTTTAAATTTAAATTTATATTCAACTGCGATCAAAATTTTTCTTATTGCAAAAGAAGTTTTTGATCACAGTTGGATATAAAGACATTATGTTAAGTTTATCAGATTCTTAGGAAGTTTTGCAATTGACAGAGTAAACAACGAAAGCAGTTTCAGTTTGGTCAGCGTCGCGCCCATGGGCACCGGGCGTCCAAGGCTGACTCCGCGGCGGACGCCCTTGTGTCTCACACGGTCACTCCCGTTGTCTCTGCAGCGAGGCTCTCTTCTCAGCGAACCTGCGATTCAGGTGAGAAGAAAAGGAAAAGGAAAGCAGATTTGGTCTTTGGAAAAGCTGGACAACAGGTTGCTGGATATGAGAGACCTTTATCAGGAGTGGAAAGAGTGTGAAGAAGATACCCCAGTAAGTTATTCAAGAAAAATTACTTAACTGGTAGTCACAGCAGGAGTGGAGCAGGAACGAGCCTCCCCATTTTAGGGACAAATTGTTCCTTTTTCCAAAACAGTAATCTTTTTTTCTGGAATAATGTTTATCTTAATCCTCTAAATTGTTCAGCTAATTGAGAAATTTAATGACCTATTTTTCTTGCAACTTCTTTTTTCTTATCCTCATCTTGAATGCTCTGGATTTCTAGTAGATTTTCCAAATGCCATTCACTTCTGTTGGTGTTACGTGTGTCTGTTTCATGTACTGGACCATGAATTTATTTATAAGGTCAGAGACAATACCCTATCTTCTCTAGTCCCATTTCTCCACACATTTAACCTTGCAAATAATACACCTGCAGTATCTCTTCTTTGAGTTGAACATTAGTGGGACCTTAATATTCGTACTATGAGGAATGCATTTTTGAGGGAATTTTGATGCTAAAGTAAGAGCCGCAGATACGTACTCCGTACTCCTCCTTCAAGTTGCAGGTTTCCCCATTTAGTCTGCCAGGCATTGTACATATGTAAAATAGAAATATGTATTATGTATATTTATATATGTTTTCAATATTGCTAGTCCTATTTCCATATAGAGTTGTTTACTTCCTTAGTTTCTTGTTTTATAAAAATGTTTATTTTCCCAGATTTATCATCAACAAAAATGACTGCTTGGAGTGGCATGACATTTCTCTTAAACTTTTTTCTTTCCTTTTCTTCTTTCTCTCATATGTCAACTTAGAAATAAAACAACACTAACAACAAATACAAAGAAAACAAACCAGTCTCCTGTAAAGCGGTCACCTCTCATGCTAACCAAATAATTTGACAGAAACAAGTAGAATACACAGGAATGAGAAATGAAGAGCGCTTCCGTTCACTCTGCCTCTTTTTATAGTTCATCTGTGTTTTTCGTGTAAAGGAAAAGAAATGATAGAAGTAACGACATACTGCCGGACTGCCCTCTGACGGGTGAAGGATGCCAGCCACCCTTCTCGATGGGAACAAGGAAGAGAGTGTGTGTGTGTGATACAGTGTATACTTCGGCTAAGTTTAATGACCCCATCAGAGTGCTTCACAAAGTGGTAGGTTGAATTCATTTATTTTTTGTGATATTCTGAAATTGTACATTTAAAATCTCTTTAAAGGTAATACGGTCCTACTTCAAGCGTGCTGATCCATTTTACGACGAGCAGGAAAATCATAGTCTCATTGGGGTGGCCAATGTCTTCCTCGAGTCCCTCTTCTATGATGTGAAATTACAGTACGCCGTTCCAATCGTCAACCAGAAAGGAGAGGTTAGTGTTCTCTTCACGCCTTGTGTCCTGCAGGGAACTGTCTGAGAAATAATGGGACGGTGATAATGTATTGTTGTTCCTATTTATCATCAGTAATAACAAGTGCTATTGATGAGTATTAATATCCATGTTTCCAGAGTGCTGTATGGACCTTATAGGTGCTTTGGGGAAAAGTAACTGCTAGAACCTTAGCTTCTAAATTCTCAGATGCCATTAACCTACCCACTTGACTCTAAAACAGAAGAAAGGACAGATCTGGAAAAAGTGTCTGCTGTTCCCCCTGGCTAGGTGGCGGGCCGGCTGCATGTGGAGGTGATGCGGATCAGTGGTGACTTTGGGGAAAGGATTGCCGGAGGTGACGATGCTGCAGATAGCAGCTTCGACAAGGAGACCCCAGAGAACAAACTTGTATGCATGGTGAGTCCCGGTTTCATTCAGATGTGGTAGAAGTGGCTGATTTTGAGCATTGTGGGTATTGAGACCATAAATGTTACATTGTTCTTCGAATTTTGAAAATACCTGTCTCTGAGTCTTTCACACTGAGTATTCTAAAGACCGATTTCACCATATATCCTGATGTACCAGTTTGCCAGGTACTTCCACTGCTTCCTCTGGGAAGCCTTGGATGAGTCTTTCCTCTGGGCCATTCTGTCCCAAAATTATATGAATACCTGTTTTCCTGAAAGTCTCTGTAGAGTAGCCCTGTGTTTCACACAATTTTTCTCCTCCTGGTTGGCTTCTTGAGTCCTGCTGAGGTTGGACATTCATCCCAGCCCTAGTCCTGTTCCTGAGTCAGTCTTCACTGTTTTTCCACATGTTTTTGTTCTCTTCACTTACTTTGATTATACTCCTCCCTCATGCCCTAACTGCCCACCCTTTTCTTTCTCCTCCTGTGTGGTGTCATTCCAGAGCTGGGTGTTGAGTCAGGTGCTGGGAACGTAAAGATAAATGAGACGGGATTCCTACTCAGGGAGCAGCCTGTGTAGCTCGTGTCTGTGTGCAGGGGACACACAAGCGACCAGAAGGCCCCAGGACTGTATGACCCAGGTGCTATGAGAGAGGTAGATGACAGATGCCCTAGGACACAGAGGAGAGGTCACTAATCCAGATAAGGCCTAAGGAAATTTCTGGAAAAATGCAACTCAGAGTGAAGTTGAAAGAGAGCATGTATGTTAGCCTGTTTCTCCATAGAGCGCTGTGGTCCTTACAGGTAATGCTGGGTAGATTTTAGGTAGGTGGCTACATTCCTGGAGTCCTGCCCAAGCAGCGTGGGGTGCCTCATCTGTCATTCCTGATGCCCATGAAGAAATCCCCTCATATGTCTCCAAGTAGTTCTGGAGCACCAGGGTGCTGGGGTTGAGAAGCTCTGTAGGAACCAGTTAAAGAAGGGGCATAGGGTCACAGTGCATGAGGAAAGGGGCCCTTAACTGGTGAGGTGAGGAAGCCTGACCTTGACTCTCATTTCATAATCCATCCTCCATCCAGGCCTGTGCTTCAGGATGTTTTTCTGGAACTGAATTTGATACTGAAAAAGGAGTAAGTTAGGCATTTGCTGCCATGTGTGGGGAGCCAAAGCCAGGAAAGACTTGGGCTCATCTCTGTAGGTCTTTGCATGTATTAAGAAGGCCTCAGATGTTTGATTCAATTACTTCAGTTTGAGGAGCAAAAATTCTTAATTCACTAAAAGGTGAATCTTTACTGTATTAATTTCAGAAGATTTCCTTAAGGTTGTGTAATTATCGAAGGTGGAAACATAGGCCTGGCGACACCTATGGGCCCATTCAAAGGTGATGGCCTAGTGACGCAGCGGTGCGGAAGACGAGCTGTGGGCAAGTTCACCGTGGGTGAGGCTGGTACCATCTTCCCTAGTAAAGGGGAGACTTCTTTACTGCTGAGAGAACCTCATTTATCGGGGTAAAAAAAACTAAGTTACAATATCTTTAAGATTTTTTAAATGGAAGTTATCAAACATGTAAAAGTAGTAGGAAAGTGTTATTCATCCCCACCCAGCCCCTCAGCAGTTAGCAGCCCACGGTCAGTTGCTTCCCTCACGCCCAAGCCGGTTCTGTGGCATCACCTTCCCTTGGGTTGTTTTGAAACAATCCCAGACACCTTATTTATCTAAAAACAATTCAGTGCGGTATCTCCAAAAGAAGAGCACTTTAAAAAGGTAACTGTGACACCATAATCAAAAAGTGATGCCTTCTTGCTGTCACGCAGTAGCCAGCGCGTCCCCTTGAGGTGTCTCGTTGGTCTGTTTTAACCTTTAGTCTCTGGCACCTGTGCTTTGTGCACTTCACACTGTCCCTCCCTCCCGCTCTTTGTGTGTGTCTCTCATTTTCTCTTACCTACAATTTGTTTAATGCAGAAACTGGCCTGTGACCTTGTATTCTCTCATAGTCTGGATTTTGCTCATTGGTGTTAGTGTGTTCAGATGTATTTGCTGGAAACTGGAAGTTAGATGTACAGGTGGTGCGCGGGGGAGAGGAAGTGGCCAGGATATGGTACAGGTGGTGGTGTGTTCTTCCATCAGAAGGCTCGTTATGCCTGGTTTTCTTCTGGGGATGGCAGCAGTCATTGGCCATTATTATCTGGTATTTCAGTAAGAGTTCGAAAAGAGAGGTACTGTAATTTTATCACCATTGCTTTATTTATTAGCTGGAATTCTAGCCTATTATCAGCTATTTGCTATTAGAGATACAGTTTGCTTAGGAAAATCAGCATAAATCCATCCTTTCCCTGTATTTACTAATTTTTGAAATAATGAGTTGGTTTTCCTATAATACATTAAAGTGAACAGTGAGATTTTTTGTTTTTAGTCTTAATATCATTACGAAGTCCTGGATTCAGACAGATCGGATGTGCTTTTGATCCATTGTGTCTCTTGCCTCTGTTGGAGCGCGGTGGCCCATCCTCAGTCTGTGGGGGCCCCTTCCGTGGGCTTTGGACACAGCCCTGGCCCTTGCGGACTCTGCCAGCTTTCATGCTTTCTGCTGTGGTGAATATTCTGGCTTCGTCCTGTACATTTCCTGTCCCAGACCTGGAATCAGCCACCTCTCCCAGAAACCTGGTTCTTTGGGTGGGAAGTGGTTTTTAGAGACCACATTCTGAACATGTAATGGCCTTTTGTGTGAAAGGAGGAGAACTAAACTGTGTAACAATAAACAATATATTGGAAAAAAAACAAGAGAAACCAGCCTAGGGCACTTAAGATATCGTGGGTGATGGTGATTGCCAGCCCATGAAGAAGTCTGGATTTATTTTTTGGAGATGAAGAAAAAAGATGCACATATTAACATACTGATATTTTCAATTACATTAAATAAAATTAGATATTTAAAAACCCCAAACAATAACGATGTCTTCTGACGTTCCTGGGCTCTCATCTCTTTGAGCAGCGGGAATTTGAAGTCTGTGGTGTTCTGACACCTTGTGGTGATTTTAGTTTCTGTGTGCAAAAACTTTGAACAACCACCCGCCTGTGCATTCTAGTCGTCGAGGTAGGCCTCATTCCTGGTATTCTTTATTCCTGGCAGTCTTGTTCCTGAGAAGCTGCCTATAGCCAAGAGTTCAGCATATGAAATCTTGCTTTCTTATTTATTTTAACCTTAAAATTGAGGTTATTTCTAAGAAAAAAATACTGGCTTTTAGATGGAATTCAGTCACAAAGAAGTATGTGTTGGACATCTGTCTGCTCAGTGCCTGGTAGTGTTTTCTTCCTGTCATTGGTGGGGTCAGTCCTCACACCCCTATCCTTAGTTAGCTATCCTCATTCCCATTGGAGAAAAAACTAAACCTCAGAAAACTGAGAATTTAATAATTTGCTCAGAAACTGATTTGCTCAGAAGCTAATAAGTGGCAGAGATTTTTATTTAGATCTGTGTACTCCAAAATCTTATAATCTTCCCAGATACCACATTGCTTCACATTAAAGAATATATATAATAAGCATTTATAGGCACTGAATTAAAAAGTGATGTTTTTTTAAATTTAACAAAAATTGAATTGCTGAATACTGACTGATCACTCTCTTTGGTTTGGACAAATAAAATATGTTAGTCAATCCGTCTTTCGTAGCCTGTCAGGGAATTGCTATCTAGATGTTCCAGAACTCTTGCTGCTGTCACAGTAGAAAATCATGATTAGGAGCCCCCATCGTTGCTTACCTGTTACATGCCTGGGATGGAAGAAAACAGTCATCTGCTTTTCTGTGTCTTTATTAAGGCTTCCTGAAACATTAAGACTATTTTTTTGTGGTTGTTGAACTATATCAACTTCTGCCACATATTCAAATCTATCTCTGTTAAATTTATTTACTGGAGGTAGAGTGCCTCATACAGTATGCAGGGAGTGACCAGCCGAAGAATATAATATCAATGCTCAGTCATATAAAAGTTGGCCTAATTGGTTATAAAATCAGAATTTAGCTTCACTTAATTTTAGGATTTAGTTCCCTTCATAATTAGAGGAGTTTTAGAATATCACAAGAACTCCAAGTTAAAAATCAACCTTATGCTGCCTGCCAAGAGCATACTCAGTATATTTGCCTGCTTTAAAAATCTATTGTGGTCTTTTCTTCTGGGAGCATTTGGGAACGAGGAGACACATTTCGAGTTGCATGTTGTTACCGTAGACCCTGCACTCCTGCGGTCCAGGGCACGTTTCCTTTGATCAGCCTCTTCTCCATGAATCTTCATGGGCAGGTTCTTCAGTAACCGTTGGTGCAGAGGATGCTCATCATTCACTACCTTTCATCTCCTTTGTTCGCCCCTCCAGAACTTCAGAGTATACATTCCTGATACGCCATTTAGAGCTTTAAAAAAATGCTCTAGTAGCATGTAACATTCTACTGGAGGGCCTTATTCTTTTTCATATTTTAAAATATCAAATAAATATTTTCTGCCTATGCTCTTTGGCATGTACACTGATTTTGTGTTTCCTTCATCATTCTTAACAGTCTTGTGTTCTTAGGAGGTATCCTTAGGTAGCCAGATTCCTATCACTGAAAGGTGTTGATGTTGAGAATTTTCTTCTTCTGAGCTGATGAATATTATTATTATAGTGTGATAATGATGATGATGATGATATGAGAAACTAGATATTAAGTATTCTTCATCAGCCTGTAACTGCTTTAAAATATCCACCTTTATAGTCAAGGTTGTTGTTATCCTGTGTCAACTCTCAGTGAATATAGCACCATTTCATGATACAGAAATACAGCCCCACAGTGAATGGCATTTGGTCCACATAAGCCAACAGTAATACCATCAGGACTGGCGCCCCTACCTCTTACTCAGAAGTACTTCTTGGAACTTTGTGAGTTTAAAACAAACAGAGCCTTCCTTTTCTTCAGGTTAAAATACTCCAAGCCACTGGATTGCCACAGCATCTGTCACACTTTGTATTCTGCAAATACAGCTTCTGGGATCAACAAGAGCCTGTGATTGTTGCACCCGAAGTGGACACGTCATCCTCCCCTGTCAGCAAGGAACCTCAGTGCATGGTTGTCTTTGATCATAGCAATGTAAGTTTATTTTCCAATTGGTCAACTTTTAATTACTTAGGTAGAAAAAGGCAATAAGATGAATCTTGTTGAATAATTTGGTACCAATATGTCTTGGATCAGAGTTAGCGTGGGGTTGGAGTCAAAGGGAAAGTGGCCTGTGGCCTGAGCATGCTGTACACCCTAAACTTACATGATGCTGCACATCAGTTACACCTCCCTAAAGCTGCGGGGAGAAAACCAAAGTGTCAAAGCATTTAACAACTCCACCATCCAGCGTCAACGTGTACGTGAATGTGTGTGTGTATGTTCATGTTATTTTCCTAAAGGAATCCATGTTTTGTGTTAGATTACTAGAGATTTGTCATCCAAAAAGGTTAAGGAACTAGTGTTCCAGAGAAAGTGAAGATAGAAAAGAGCCAAGAGCTGCCTCTAGCGAGTGCCAGTGCCCTGCTGAACGCTTCATTCCCTTCCCACGTCTGAGCTTTGCCACAGCTGTATTTGATCCCGGTGCTTTTTCAGCACAGGAAGCCAGTTTCAGGGAGTCAGTTGCCTGTGACTAGTAACTACCAGAGCAGGACTGTCGGATTCCAGATTCTTTTTTCCTCTGGCACAACAGTTGGTCCATCTCACTTTTTTTCAAGGGAGAATTCTCTTTCTAATCTGTTTAAACATAGAAATACCTTTAGTGTGTTAAAGATCAGGCAAGAGAAAAGGAGTGGAGAGTTTGTGACTTTTTAAAATAAATTGCCTCAAAACTTAATCCTGATTATTGTAAAAGCTGCCCTACAGACATCCTTTAAAGATGGACAGATTGGGAGAAGCTTTCAAAATTAGGTGTTTGGGTGCACTGGTGATCATTACTTATTTGCTTTCTCTCGTTACCAGGGATAGCTTCCTAAAAACTGGGAGACATTGTTTTTCCAACACACTGCTACCTTACTACATGTGATGACTTTTGTATCAAGATATTTTAGATCATTGTTGTAATTCTTAGTATAAGTATTTATACTTTTATAAACAGTTCCCCAAATATTGCTTACAAAGTAGAATGCAATGCTGGTCTTTCACAGTAGATTTTCAAGGTGAAAAGTTTTTTAAAAAATCAGAGTTATAGTTATTTTTCAAGTCAGAAGAGCCTTAGACCATTTGAGCATTCATTGTGGGGGTTAGATGACAGTGCTGTTCAGTAATGAAAACATTCTTTTCTGTCTCTCTTTTCAATGATGAAGTAAGTATATGATGTCAGGTATAAGTAATCATAAGGTTACCAGAAAGTGTTTCCTCTTCTGTAATTATTTTCCTTCAGGAATTTTCTGTTACCATCACAGAGGACTTTATTGAGCATCTTTCAGAAGGGGCACTGGCAATCGAGGTGTATGGCCATAAGATGAACGATCCTCGGAAAAACCCAGCCCTGTGGGATTTGGGGATTATCCAAGCAAAAACACGCAGTCTTCGGGACAGGTGAGTTTTAGATATACATCTGATTCCATTGGTCATTTTAAAAACTAGAGATTAATACTGCCATTTATAAAGGGAGCCCTTTCCTGAGCATCCCCAGTGTTCCAAGGACAGACGGCGGTGCTTCCAGGGTATTGATAGCACCGGTAACCTACCGAGAGTTGTGAGCTGTGGAGTGTGGAAGAAGGGTAAATAGGTAGGTAGTTAACCCACCTAGAGTGAAATGGACTTTTGGCGAATAGCTTGCTTACTTCTAATGAATCAACTATAAAGAGAGAATGGATCAAGATATACTCTAGAATTCAGGATTCCTTATTTTTTCTTAGTTCAAAGTTCTTTCCAAGTGCCATCAGTGATGGAAGGAGGCAGGCTCATTTGTTGACCAGGATTTTAAAGAGTTAAAAGAGAATGACTGGAAGAACATATATTTGTTCTATCTGTAGATGAACTATAGATAAAGGTCACGTTTTTGTTTCTCTTTTTTTGCATTTAGAAAGTTGTAGCAAATACTAAGTTAGATGTTGAGATTTCTTTCTTGGGCATTCTCTTATTGACCTGAGCAAAGGTACTTGTCAGGTCACTGACGCATACAGTACCACCTTTATCTAACAGTGGAAACGTAGACTGTGTACTTGCCTCTGTACATCTGATACTATGTTTAGATTTTTGAATAACCACTTTGAAATAGATTTATAATTATCATACCTTCTTGAATGAAATAAAGAAGCTGTTTCAGACAGAATGTTTCTTTAATTTTGCTCTAGATTGCATCTATTTGCTATTATGTGCTTGTGTATTCCTCGCTGAACTACAGATCATTCATACTGAGTTATTCTGTTTGGAAGTCATTATCATTCTAAATTCTCATATGTAGGATCCTAAGCCACTTGTATTGAAATAGAAATGTATGGTTTTCCAAGAACTTCACCTGTTTCCTAGATGGAGTGAAGTCACCAGGAAAGTGGAATTCTGGGTTCAAATCTTGGAACAAAATGAAAATGGTGAATACTGCCCTGTAGAAGTCATTTCTGCAAAAGACGTGCCAACAGGAGGCATCTTCCAACTCCGGCAGGTAACAGAATCATGAATGTCACCATTATGAACGTTCACATGAAATTCTTTGGCACCATAAAGCTTAATATTGGATTCCTCTTAGCAGAAATGTCAGTGATAATGGAATCTAGACTGGCTAAGTCCATTCCTTATATTGAAATTGCTTCCTACTTTATGTATTTTCTTTCTTTTTCAAAAATACTGCTTTTTATAATATTTTTAAACCAGCTTATGTTAGGTTTAAGTAAGAAGGAGGCAAGCTTTAAAGAACAACTTTGAACTGTAGGAAATAAAACATATCAAGTAGCATTAGGCTGTTTATAAAGACAGGAAAAAGCAAGGAGTCACAGCAGAAGGAACAAGCCCTTCGATGTCCGGCGTGGTAGGGTTCCGTTCTGGCTCTCAGTTGGCCTGGTTATGTTCTTCTCAGAGCCTGTCCCTGTGTATAAAGTGCAAGTGATGATAAAATCAACTTCACAAGGTTCATGTGAGGATTGGGGATACTGCATTTGAAGCACAGTGCTTGGTACATGGGAGGAGAGAAGTGTATTTTCCTCCTGACACCAACAGGTTCTCTGATTCTCTGCAGACACCAGCTGCGTGTCTTATAGCTCAGCTCAGTTTGGACCTTAACCACTTGGTGTTAGCTCAGCCTTCACAGGTTTAACAGCTCAGACTTAAGCACAAGACTGCCTTGCGTCAAATGCCAGTTGCAAGTATCGGCTCCCCAGGTTACTCACACCTCTATCTGACTTGGCTACAAATAGGTAGCCAAGCTTCCTACAATCCCCTCAGGTTTGATAATTTGCTAGAATGGCTCTCAAAACTCAGGAAAGCTCTTTACTTACTGTTACTGGTTATTATAAAGCATACAACTCAGGAATAGCCAGATGGAAGAGATGCCTGGGACAAGGTGTGCGAGGAGGGAGGAGGAGCCTCTGAGTCCTCTGGGTGTGCCACCCTCTCGGCACCTCGATTCGTTCGCTGAACAGGAGCTCTTGTTCAGAATTGCATTGTTCAGGTGCCATGCGTGTTCCGTTATGTCGGCACGATTGATGACAGCCCTGGCCGTTGGTGGTTAGCTCAGTCTCTCGCCTCCCTCCCCTCTCTCCCTGAGGTCTTAGGCGGGGCTCAAAGTTCCAAACTTCGAATCAAGGCTTCATCTTTCTCCTGAAGCTATCTAGGGGCCTGCCAGAGCCACCAAAGTAAGAGTCACATCAGTAAAAGATGTGTCTGTGACCTTTACTACTCAGAAAATTCCAAGAGTTTTAGGAGCTTGGTGCCCGGAAATGAAGACAAAGAGCAGATATCTTTCTGTGATGGCACAGGATGTGTTGAATAAATGCAACTCGGTAGACATGAATACCTGCCAGAAGTCAGTACAACAGACAAACGTGGACATTGCCACTGAGCCCCAGGCAGACTGTGATCTGTAGTGTGTGCTGCCAGCTACAGATGAGAGAGTCTATCTTTTCAGAATTTACATAGATTTGGAAATATTCTCTTTTGCTATACTTTACATTAATCCAATGTTTAGTAGAATGTTGCATCCTATAATAGTTTCCATACTTCAGAACAAGAGTAAAATATTGGAATAGCCTCTAGAAAATGAATATTGAAATCATTCCAAGCACAATGTGAGAAAAGGTTAAAGGAAAAAGAAAGTTTGCTTAAATATTTGGGTTTCTGAATACTTTAGGAGGAAGGAGATAAGCCCTTGTTCTGTGACCCCAGCAAATGAATTTTAGCAAATTTATTGATCTATGGACAAGGAACCAAAAGCAAAAGGAAATTAGTTTAAATTACAGCATGAGATGTATACATAAAATAGAATTCTTAAGGGTGTGAAGAACATCTTTTACTGAACATCTGTTAAAACTATATATATCGTCTTTGGATGCCTTAGAAATTCATCTCCTGGAAGGCAAGATCAGGTAATTTTCTGTGCTTTAGTGTGAACTGAATATTTGGTATTTGTCATACATATGACAACCTTTACTAAATGTGTTCAAAGATATGTTGGGTTTATCAGGAAAGGCTTCTTTGAAGGGTATGTGTCTTGACCTGGATTCTGAAAAACCTGCAAAGTCTGGAAAGGTTTTTCATATATAAATTGCAAGAATAAAGAAACAGAGGTTGGAATTACGTAAGTTTGGGTTGAAAGTAACGTGGGAAAAGCCGGAAAGCAGTAACAAGAGGTTGGTAGAGGAGCACGTGGCAGCTAGTTCACGGAGGCCTGGGATGGTAGGTTCATCTGGATTTAATATATTTCAAAACTGGAACCTACTGTTGATGAACAAGAAAGTGGCAGAGGAAAATGAATTAGGTTAACCATATGAAAATCCTGGTTTTATAGTTTAAAAATGGTCATTTACCAGCAGTTGCAAGAAGTTCAATCTGTTAGTTAAGTTTACTACTCAAAGCTTTTCTATGGAACATTAAGCCATTTCTGGATCTTTTCCTTCCTTTTCTTCCGGTTCCTTATCTTGAGTCCACCCCCAAAGTATAGGAACTTCACCCTTCATATTTGGCCGCACATTAAAAATGAGTCACTTTCTATCTTAGGCAGAGTAACAGACACAACGTAGCTAACTGAAATGACTAAATGATTTAGACAATTATGGTAATCTCTGAGGTGCTCTTTCCACAGAATATCTGCTGCATAGTCCTTGGAAAATATTAAATCAAAAGACATCTGTAACCCATCTTTTCAAATCTAGCTCCATAAGATCAATCATTCCCTAAGTTGATTTTCCTGATAATGCAAAGCTCTTGGGATTTAAAACCTAATGGAAGGGGAAGAGTGACTGACTTGGAATTGTATATTAAAATGCCATTTTTCAAGTTCTAATTTACATTCCTGAAATTTGTAAACTGACACTGAAGTTAGTAATTTGGGAATACTGGGAATTTTCTTTTAAAATATTACTTCATTGTAATTATACAAAGTCATATAAACTGTGTTTAAGAGGGAACGACTTCTCCCTGGCCAGTTCTTCATTTTGGTTCTGCAGCTTGGTTTAAAATTGCTTTATTTAGGGATTAGAACAGCCAGTCCAGGATAGTAGTGATCGTTCTTACTTGTAACTCTGACTGCTTATTTTTAAAGTAGATCATACTATATATACTAGATTTGGTAATCTTTTTTTTTATGTTTACTTAACATCCATCACCATACTCTTTATCTTAATATGTCATGTATGTTTTTCCACAACGATATTTAATGACTGTAATATTTCATATATACTACTGTTTAAGCAGTTAATCAATATATAGTTAATCTGCATCTAATTTTTTTTTAACATTTCTTTAAGATTCTTTATATACATATATGATGAGAAGAACAGATTCCTAGGAAGTTGAATTGCTGGGTCAAGAGATACTTGCCCTTACAAAAAGCTTTACCAATTTGTATTTTCACCAGCAGTATATATATATATAATTGCTTGTTTCATAAACTTTGGGCAGTATTGGAAATTGCCTTTTTAAAAGATAATTGCTAGTTTACTAAGTGGAAGTAAAGGTATAGCTTGCTAATTTGGATTGTGTCTATTTGATTTTTAGTGAGTTGAGCATTTTTTATTATCTAGCTTATTGTCAACCTTTGTTAGAGTATTGTCCTTTATTGTTTCTTTTTATTAAAAAAATATCTAAGCCATATATTCTGTGTCTTTCTACTTGCTTAAAAGGTAAATAATTTTTTCTGATTAGATTTTCAGTTTGTAGTTCACTACTTAACATTTAAGATACAGTGAGATAATTCTCCAAAGTTAAATGCTTTTCCCAGCATTAGCCTCTAGGGGGCTCTCTAAACCAAATTTTTGGAAATCGGACTGCTTTTAACAAAGTAAATTTAAAAATTGTGATACAGGGGCAGTCCCGGCGAGTTCAGGTGGAAGTGAAGTCTGTGCAGGAATCTGGGACTTTACCACTGATGGAAGAAAGTATATTGTCTGTTGGCATTGGATGTGTGAAAGTTAGAGCACTCCGATCCCCCAAGACTCCTGAGACCTTCCATGTAAGTTTTTATGCCTCTTGTTGAAAGACCCAAGCAGACAAGAGTCTTTTGGAACCTGTCAGAAAGCTGCCTTCCATGAACAATTCTTTCACTATTTCTTGTTTTCCTTGGATGTCCTTTTTTTACTGAACCAGACTGTTGATCCTGACCCCGTACATGGCAAGCGGAGAGTTAAGACATCGCAGCCTCTGGAAACTGCTCAGTGCCTTCTAGTGATTAACTTGCCCCAACACCCACCCCTCTGCAGAAACCCCCTACTGGCTTGTAAAGACTATTTGCCAGCAGGTGTTTGATTTCCCCTGGGGAGTGGGGCTATAAACCCAGCAGGTAAAGTATTGTACTGGTTCCTGAAAAGGTCAAATGAGTGTTCTTCACTTTCCTATAAGAAGCTCAAGATTTAATTCCGACTTCCTGAAAACTATAAAACCAAGAGTGAGGGTGAGCACAGGTGGGAGATGGAATAGTATATTCATTAAGTTAGAAAATGTGAAGTATGGGAAAACATTCAGATTGTTTATCATAGCTTGATTCTTGGATAAATAATTATTTCAGTTCTGCATAACATATTTTTTCTTTTAGGAGGACGAGGAGGACATGGACAGCTACCAGGTAATGAAGCACCTGTTAACCTCATCAAATTAGCTTGATTAAAGGACTAAATTACTTATTCCTGAGTCTTGCTGTACTGACTTAATAAGTGCACAGTTAATTTTGATTTAAATACTGCTTTTTCTCAAATTAAAACTGGAGTAGGGAGCAGAGAGTGTTTTATGGACATTGAAGGGAGATCTGTTTAGTATAGAAAAACATTTCTGCCTGTTAACTTTGCCCCTGGAGCTCCGCATCCAGGTTCCCTGCGGATCTGCTTTTCCAGATCCTCTTCCTTGTACTTTTTCTCTCCTCAAGTAGGGCCACCCGCCCTTACCCCTAAGAGCTGTCCACACTGAGCTTTGGTCAGACCACATGCTAAGGTGTTGTCCGTATTTTAAGGCCAGTCTCCCTTCCCCTCTTTCTGGAGTCCTACAGGTTTGGTTTTGAGTATACGTCCCCGCCCCCTTTCCTAATCTCCTACAAGATTTTGTTTATTCTGTTAAATTTTATCCTGTTAGTCTTGTTAGTCATCGTTTAGGACTGTCAGAGCTCTTTGGATCCTGATTATGTCATCCAGTGTAGACACTCTCCTGGTTTTGCATCATTGTAATTTGATAAGAATGTCTGCCTCCCTGTAAGTCACTGATAAAAGTATTGTATCAGATAGGGTTAAATACAGAGTCCTATGGCACAACAATAGAGACTTCTTTTACACTGACATGATTGCATTAATCACTGTTCTTTGGATGTGACATTTGAGTCATTTGTGATTTCATTCAAGTAGATCCATTGCACATTTCTCCATCTTGTCCACAAGAATGTCATGAGCTGTTTGGTTAAGTGCCTTAGTGAAATCCAGATACACTCTCTATCTGCAGCATTCCACTGATCTACCCAGCCTTGTAACTTTATTAGAGAAGGAAATGAGGGAGGATTGGTGTGTGGTCAGGTGTGGACTGGGAGAGCTGTTAGTCTGTTGATCATGCCCCCTACTCTCCCCATCCCCCCCAAAACCCCACAAAAACCAGGGAGAGAAGCATTTACATGTTGTTTGTAGACTAGTGAAACATGTTGAAGGCTGTAGTTAAGAAATTTTAAGAATTCTTGCACTGGTTCTTAGGGATGTAAATCTGCAGATTATTGAGTAGTAGCTGTGATATCTGTACTGCAAGGAGACCTTGTAGAAGATCTTAGTTGCAAGTGTTCTGTGTTCTACCCCTTGAACCAAAAGACATAAAACTGGTTCTGGACATCAGAGAATGTCTTTCAGAAACAATTTTACTCTAGAACAATAATGTTTTCATTTCTGAAAGTTTCTGTTCTGAATAATGGTTGGAGTCGATTTGTGGTGGTAATAAAGACCTTAGTCTTATAATACTTTACATTTTCAAAGCATGTTAGAGTATGGTAAAATAGAGCATCAGTTTCAGATTTATTGTCTTGACATTGTATTTACTCTAATTTCTCTTGTTTTCTTCCAGGATCGGGATTTAGAGAGACTGCGTAGAAAATGGCTGAATGCATTAACAAAACGTCAAGAGTACTTAGATCAACAGTTGCAAAAACTTGTCAGTAAACCGGGTAGGAAAAGCAAGTTGAATATTTCCCTCCCCCAAATCAGTGCCTAATTAATCTCCATTTGCCGCCACATAAATTAAAAGTAGATGAACACATCAATAATGGAGGTGGCAAGAGCATAGGGTTGGTACTCATTTGTATCATATCCTTTCAAAAGAGCAATTGATCCAAATGTAATGATGTCTATAGAACCCCACACACAAAAAAAAAAAAAAGAGAAAGAGAAAATACAGTATGCAAACAGTGTCCCTCCAAGATAATGTAAGGAAGGTGCTAACCTTTCTTGATTCTTGTCCAAAAGCACCTGAATCCTCTGGAAGAAATTATTCATGTCCCACTGTGGGCCTCCGTTGAGCCGAAGATGGCCTCTCTGGAGGGGTACACCAACCTCTGTAGCTTACAGGTTTTTATTTTGAATTTTTAAATGCTAACTAGAGAAGTAATAAGTTTTTGGTGAACCCCCCTCAACCAGTAACTGAAATATGGGCTGACCCCGTTGATGTGCAGGACCGAAGTATAAAGCAAGTGTAATACCTGTATTTGATCCTCATTCCTGACGTTCTAGATAAAACAGAGGATGATGCTGACCGAGAAGCCCAACTTCTAGAGATGAGGTTGACTCTAACAGAGGAAAGAAATGCAGTCATGGTTCCCTCTGCCGGCAGTGGGATTCCGGGGGCCCCAGCAGAATGGTATGAATGCAGCCGTCTGTGTTCTAGAGTCCTAAATGCTCACCGGGCTGCCTGCTTTCTGTAGGGATTTTGCCTGTGCTGTAATTAATGGAAGACTCACCATAGTATATGGGAAAAATGTTTGAATTAGAGGAAGTATTAAATTATTTTCATGAGTTGGAATAATTATGGCCTAAAACTATGTTTTATTAAATAATATTGTTATTGGTCCAAGTAATTAAGATTTCTGAGAATCTAAATCAATATTTAATACCACTGCACTTAACTGTTTAAAAAAATAGTTAATATGTTAATTACTTGGGTCATTCCTTCAAAGCCCATTTGGTCATAATAAAATTGCATCTCCAGGAGTTTTTGGTTCTGGTGCTGGCTTACACTGTACTGTCAGCAAATATTGTTGACCACTTTATGGAAATTAAAAATAGTAAATTAAGCCACNTATGTATGTTTGTGTGTGTGTGTCCTATAGGCCTGAGGTGAGCAGTACAGAGCATACAATGGTCACATACATGAGCACCAGTGAAAAGAAACAGCAGTTGCAGTTAAGACCCTGTGGCATAACTGATGTGAAATAATAGCAAACCCAGGGTCCAGAGCTGTGGTTGGCTTGATCCTTCACAGCTCTGAACAGGTAGCAAGGCTGTGTGGAGAAGCACATGTTGCTGAGAAAATTTGCTTTATTTGAGGTGCTATATTGTTCTTTACATTTTAGGACCCCAGTTCCTGGGATGGAAACACACATTCCTGTTATTTTCCTCGACTTAAATGGTAAGTTAGGAGGTACTTTCGGAAGGCTTCTGTCCGAGTAACACTTAGGCTCTGCCCCAGCGTGCAGTTAGGCAGTTCTGTAAGCCTAAGGGGAGGGTCCATTGTACGTGTGCCAAAGGACTGATGCTTGACGAAGAACGAAGGCTCCATGGGAGCAGGGTCCCACTACAGCGGCAGGCGCGTGTCGTCGTGCTGTGGTCTCACATTTCGTCTGCAGCCCAGACTGCTATGTGTGTACTTTGTCCTCCTATCAGTTTCGGATGGAAGGATGTTTCCCTGCACTTCAAATATTTCCTTCTTTAATTCTTAGGAGAAGATTTCTCTCTGCAGAGGACTAATGCTAGTGATGCTTATGTAGCATGTTTTCTTGGCATTACCTAATACATTTCTCACTTTTCTCTGTGAGTTATTTTGTTTACCCCTGCATTGCCTATTTTTTTTAATAACAGTCTTTTTTTTTCTGACGTCTTTCCCCCTCATGTTGGATGTGGCTACGTTTTACATACACTATATCAGAGGAAGGAAAATAAAAACGAAAAGGTAGATTAAAGAGTTAAAAATTAGAAGTCAGCAGTTAAGTCCCTAACACCGCTGCAGAAAAACTTTTAAAATGAGCTCTCCTAAACAGACAAGCCTGACGGCCTCGGTGGTTTCTGCCGCCCAGCTGAGAGTGAGCAGCAGTACCTGAGGTATTGAGCATCTTGTGCCACCCAGCTTATTTAGACATATAGAAGATTTTTAGATATACACAGATAATAATAGTTAGCCACTTCCACCGTCTATCCACCTGCTGGGTTTAATGTATTGCCGGAGCACTTCGCCCTACTGTGTTGTGCTCTTGAGCCTTGGAGACTATGGGTGACTCTGGCCTATTCTTATGTTAGGTTCCCAGATGAGTGAGGTGCCTGTGTGTGTATGTGTAGGAAGGTCAGAGAGTGGAAAAGAATAAGTCTAAAGAAGACCTCTTACGCCCCTTCTTGATCCACCCAGATCCACATTTAGAAAAGATCCTTTTGTCGCCTACTCACCATCTTAAGATGGATAGGACGTTGGAAGGGCCAGGCTTGGAGCTAAATGACCAAAGGGCAGGGGCAACCCCCTCCGGTTTCTAGCTCATGTAGCCAAGTGGTTCTGTTGTTGAACTTAACTGTCAGATAATTGAAATTGCTCTTATTTCTCCCTTCTTTAGTGTACTAAAAAGTAGGGAGTTTGGATTATAATCCTATCATTAACATTTATGGGATGACTTGGATTAACCTCTTGGATATCTTGGCTTCAGTTGCCTTCCATATAAAAGAAGGCTTAAAGGTAGGAGACTGGCGAAGATAATTTCTTGGGCACTTTCCATCTCTAAGATTTGTGAACTGTTTAATGGTCATCGAATGTGCTGTGTAAGATTTTAGAGCCAAAAGCAAATGAAATTTGAGGCAGGAGAATTTTAGTACTAAGCACATTGTCCTTTGAAGTGACCGCTGTACTGAAGGGAAGTTCTCTGTTTCTAGCCGATGACTTCAGCTCTCAGGATAATCTCGATGACCCAGAAGCTGGTGGATGGGATGCTACTCTCATCGGGGAAGAAGAGGATGAGTTCTTTGAACTGCAGGTTGTGAAACAGCATGATGGAGAGGTAAATAGAGCATGTCTCAGGAAGCCTGGATGGAAAGGATTTCTCTCACCTTCCCATGAGCCTTTTGTAATAATCAGCAGGGTAGTCATTTAGTGCTTACATTCCTCAAGAAGTGTAAATGAAAACCTGTCATTAGGACTCCAGAAGGACGGGAGCCACTCCCAGAAGGGGTGGGCGTCAGGTCGCAGCCGTCAGCCGTCACTGCCTCTTCCGTTGAAGCATCTCCCTCAGTGCTCACAGTTCAGCTCAGCAGTGGCCCATCTAGGGAGCTTCTGCTCAGGTGTAACATGACGTGATGTCTGGGGTTTACTTTGAAATTCTTTAGGAAACACTTTTTAAAAGGTGGGGTGAAAGAAGAGATGAAACCAGTGTGGCAAAATCTTGATAATGTTTGAATCTGAGTGATAGGTGTACAATAGGGGCTTATTTTCTAATTTTAAGTGTATTGGAAAAAATTTTCAAATATTTGAAGGAAGGAAAACTGATGTGATGCTTTGAATACCTCATCACTCAGTGGTATTCCTGCATGCAAACCGTAACCCAATAGTGGAACCATCAGACCCGACCATGGTGCGTTCTGTAGAAGTGCAGGCCTGCACGCTTCTTTAGTAGTGACTGGGAAAGGCTGGGCACCATTCCAGGTTCAAGCAGACTAAAGGGACGTGACAGCTAAAGGGACATGACCCTGGATTGGAACAATTGGAAAATTTAGATCTGGACTCTATTATATAATGGGTATGTGTTGATGTTAAATTTCCTGAATATGATAATTGTCTTTGCTCTTTGAAGATACTCCCTGAAGTATTTAGGGATATAGAGTCTATAAACTTATTCTAAAGTGGTTCAGAAAAAAAAAAAAAGGGAGACTGTGTGCATGTGTTGGGATAATAGAGAAAGGAAAAGTAGCAAAATGGGAAGAGTTGATGAATCTAGATGAAGGACAGGAGTTCATTGTATTGAATTTGCATCTTTGCTTAATGGCTAAGCATTTCTCAAAATAAAGAAATGTTCAAAGCCAGCCCGCCAGGAACATTATGCTCTGTACTCCCCAGACCCAGGTGGCTGAGGCCACGTCCTCAGGCTCTGTCGTCTTTCTAGGCCAGTCTCCCAGTAGAACTGCCTTTGCGGCCAGCACGTACTGCCTCAGCCCAAGCTGAGACGTTTCCTTGTGAGGTTTTTCTGGTTTTAGGAGGGGAGGGAAAAGTATATTCTGCCTGTCTTCAGGTGAAAGCAGAAGCCTCATGGGACTCCGCCGTGCACAGCTGTCCTCAGCTCAGCAAAGGCACGCCTGCGGATGAGCGGGTGTTCCTGATTGTGCGGGTGACGGTTCAGCTCAGCCATCCGGCCGACATGCAGCTGGTGTTACGCAAACGAATCTGTGTCCACGTTCATGGCCGGCAGGTGAGTCATTGATCCCAGTAGAAATGATTTTAACTACAAGTCTAACATGAGGGCAGGGCCTGGACTGATTGCTCTGGCCTCCTGTCCAGACAGGCTCTGTGAGGCATTAAGCTTGTCTTTTCAATGTGACCACGACTGTCCTGTAACCATGCTTGCTTCACTCTCGGGACACGTCATTGTGACTTACACCTAGACACTATTAAACTGTTACACGGACTCTTTCTTATTTCATATTCACAAATGACAACCATTCTTTTGGGTGCCACAGAGCCCTATCGAAGTGAAGTTCACCTCTTTTGTTGCTGACTTTTTATCTGGGTCCTATAAGATGAGAAGGTTCATTGTAGATTAACTGTTTGTGCTTCTTACCCTTTGCTTTCCTACCATTCTTTCCTAGTCCTCTCTGATTCCTTGTGACTCATGTCATGGGGAGAGTACTCTGACAAGCTCTGGGGCAAAAAGATGAATAAGAAATAGTCTGCATCCTTAAAGAGCCAGTGTCCATTGGCACACGCGGACAGGTGTAAAGGGGTGGCTCTGTCTTGTGGTAGTGCTGGACTGCAGGCCCTCACCAAGTGCTGGAAGGTGCAGGCAGCGGGAGCAGAGGATGCAGACCAAAGGAGTCAGGGAGGCTTCCGAGAGGAGGTGGCATGCAAACTGCTCCGTACAGACGGACGGGGTTTTGGCAGGCAGAGGAGGAGCGCTGGCTGTTCCGTGGAGAGGAGGAAACACTGCAGAGGGAGGCAGGGAGGGTGCGGCAGGCTGGGGGCCCTGCGAAGCACACTGTGGCAGGTGTTCTGCGGAGGCCAGGGCCCTGGCTGTCAACACAGTTGCAGCTAGAGTATGAAGGACCTTGTGCCAAATTAATGCAGGCTTAGCAGAAAACTTCTAGGCAAGAATGAGAGGTATTTCTGTTACTGGCTTAGCAATTATGGAATTTGGGAAGTTGTTTCTAGAGATTCTCTTTAACTGTCTATGCTCACTTTTCTGAAGTCTTTGCAATGCATTGACTAAAACCAGGACAGATGAAAATAAATCTTTTCATTTAAAAGAGCACAGTCGTGGTTGACAGAGTCCTAGATGTAATCTCCACCCCTCAAAATTAATCTTTACTTCTAAATGTCACACTGATATCAATCTTTGGAATGAAGACTGGCGGTAATGCTGCTAAAATTGCAGCTCTTTAGCTTGGCAGTCCAACCTCAATAAAACTCTGGTCATCGGGTTAGCTGTAGATGGATCTGGTGTCTCCCACATTCACTCTTTCTCCGTCTCCCTTTTCTCGAAGTCTTCAAGGGATTGAAAAAGACATGTGGCTCTTGTGGGGGAGCATTTTGAAGAATTATTCACCATTTCAGAACTAGAGATTCTGGTGGCCAGGCCCTGGGATTGACCTTGTGCAACTGCCAGACCCACACAATCCTTAACTGGAAGGGTACATTGTGGAGACACCAAGTTTCTTTTGTTTTCTCTTTTTTTGGGGGGAGAGGGTTGTTTTTAATTAATTTTTTATTTTAATAATATAGGGACAAGGTGTCACCACATTGTTCTCCTGGTTGAAGTGATTTGATAGTATCAAATTGATACTGAATGAAATAGTAGTATTTTCGGGCAGGCCAGATTCCCTCCCCATTTCAGATATTTCATTCCTAAAAATTGCTTCTTTGTAGCTATAACAGGGACTTCCTTGTGATCCTGCTACATGCCTGTCAGCTTCACTAAGTTGGCACAAATAGAAAACAAAGAAGTAAGATAACAGCACCCCCCACCCCTTACAAAAAGCTGCTGCTGACCTTGACCAGTGCCCTTGGCAGTCACTTGTGCATTGCAAGGCTGAAGCTGAGAGAGGGAAGGGATGAAATCGATGGTCTGAGATGCTAAAATCTTTTTAAAAATGAACTGAAGATGGCTGAATAGGAAAGAAGTGGGTTTGGGAAGGTAGATACTTCTAAGGCAAAACGGCTTGATTTTTATTTTCTTTGGGGTTTTTCGCATGTTTCTTATTTCCCTTTTGCATGAGGGAGAAGTTTCAATGTTGGTTTAATATTCTTGCTTCTTATCTTTATTCACCAGTTGTATTCTGCCCTCTTCCCTGCTCTCTTCAACCTCTCCAGGATGTTCAGTCTTAGCAGCATCTTCAAATGAGTCATCTATGCATTAATTCAACAGTTTGGCTCTTAACTGTGCAAAGAGCGCAGTCAGCATAAACAATGACCACGCACTCTTAAATCATTCTTCATAACCATCCTGCTTTGGTCAAGAATTTAATGCCTGAACTTGTCAATATGCATGGTGCATGATGTCCATTGTGCTGCAAAGAAAAAAGAAGTGTTAAGAGTCACCAGTCCTTGCTTACACTTTAGTTAGAAGGTCATTTTACTGTGTGGAAGTCAGCAGTCTTAATTTCTGTATCCTTGAAGCAGAGTTAAACCAGATGCCTTGTGTCAGTTTCCAGAGTTGAGGGTCTGTATTTTCCATGTTTTGGGTGTAGGACCTGTCCCACGGCAGGTATCTAATAAATGGGCTTTGTGCACTGAGATGAAGTTGAAGAAGCTATTTAGTGGTTTGAATTTTATCCTGCTTGTGTTGGAAATAAGCTCTGTTTCTTTTTGGTTAGAGTGGATGCAGTATCCTTATACTGTTTTCTTTGTTAATGGAGGTTCAGTTTTTGAGGCGGGAAACCATATCTTCTATTTCATTTTTCTCTAGGGTTTTGCACAGAGTCTCCTGAGAAAGATGTCACATCGAAGTTCTATTCCTGGCTGTGGAGTGACTTTTGAAATTGTCTCCAACATTCCGGAGGTAAAGGAACATGTGAAATTTGAATTTACAAAAGATAAACATGTAAAAAGGACCAACTCCCTGGAAAGTCACTCACCCAGAAATATGTGTTAAGTGAAAATGTATATTTAGGGAAATGCTATAGATTTGTAGAGGAATTTTCTAATCTTAAGTTTATTCATAGGAAAATGCACTTGTAGCTTTAAAGGTTCTGGTTATAGTACTTTGTTAAAGAAGAACTTTCTTTTTGAAAATCAAATCAACAAATCTTATTTCTGTCATTTTTTAGTGGAGTGAACTGGGGTAAGTTACTTTGAGCCTAAATTTTTTCGTTTATCAAATTGGGGTAGTGATACCTTCTGTACAAGGTTGTTTTTAAGGTTTAAATGAGAGATTGTACATAAATTGTGCACACATTAAACAAGTTGTAGTTACTATTATTATTTCATTATTTATCTTTTTGTACTTACTGAGATAGGCACAGGAATCAAACAAATGGAGCTTAAAATACCCCTGACAGAAGCTTGCTGGATGGAGGATGTAGTTTATAGATGTTTCCTAATATTTAATCCCCGATGTAGACAGATTTATTCACCTAGTCATCGGCACGTTTGGTGACTGTGAAAAAGAGGCAGAAGCGCAGTTCCTTCTCCCCACTCGCTGTTCAGAACCAGGGAGTGTGTGCGGAGGGGCGGGCCGCCCCTCCCTGGGGAGTGGAAGGCGGGAATGTGAGCCTGAAGGGCCAGCTCCCGCCCAGCCATGCCTCCAACATTGCCTGGCTCTTCATGTGAGGGCTGGGGGTTTGTCGGTAGATTCTGCTGAGTATTTGAATATGTATTTTAACACGGAAACCAGGTTTAGGAAGAATAAAATGATCACACAGTACTTAGGCTTTCCTTTAGGTTTCTTTTCTTTCTTTCTTTTTTTTTTTTGATTAATAAAGTTGCTTTATTAGTTTCCTATTGTTACTGTAACAAATTACCATCCACCTAGTGGCACTAACAACATAGTTATTATCTTATAATTCTTTGGGTCAAAAGTCTGAAATGAATTTCACTGTTGTAGAATCGAGTTGACATGGTTGCATTCTTTTCTAGAGGCTGGAGAGGATCTGTTTCCTTCCCTTTCTAGCTTGGACAAACTTCCTGCATTCCTCAGCTGGTGGACTCCTTTCATCTGCAAATCCAATAATGATTGGTTGAATCTCACATTATACCACTCTGACATTGACTCTTATGCTTGGCTTTCCTCCTCCACTTTTAAGGACCCTGCTGTTACATTGGGCCCAACCATATAATCCAGGAAAATCTCCCCTTTTTTTTTTTTTTTT